ATTTTAAATAGAAGTGGCAGAAAAATTGCGAAAACCTCACAGAAGAATTGTTTGCAACATCGTATTTTATCAAATTTGGCTCACCAAACGAACACTTTCTGGCACACCGGAGTGTAAACTCTCAGGGCACTTTTGATTAATGCAGTCCACATAGACATACATGATAGAGGAAACAAAAAGCGCCCCAATTTTGTCAAAATATACCAACATTGAAGAGCTAATAGCATATGAGAAATAACTAATCCTTTTGACAGACATCGACGTGAAAAATCTGCACTATTCAGTCAAAAGAGAAACAAAAGCAATCTGGCAACATATACGGGTAGCAAATCATTGAATAGCAGTTAAAATTCGCTAATGTAGCGCTTTTACGAAAAAATCTCTGCAAATAACAGCAACTAATGGTTGGCCTCGTGCTTGAATATTTGAACATATTGCTTGATCATGGAGAAACTAAGCAGCCGCTTTAAATTTATGGCAGCGGTAAAGCATGGAGAGCTGAAAGTCCAGCTTCACTTTTGCAGCACCTATGGCGCACGTGTTTAATTTAATCAACGAGGGTAGTTAAATATTTCACAAATGTAATAAAATAGTTGTCAGACCGTTTTGCGTAAAGTTCAATTCTATACATCTGTATAATACCCCGAAATGGTGCTTAAGATTACCTAGTCAGTGGGCTTTCAGATTTTAGCCTCTTGGTTCAGCTCACCCTGAATTCATAGACAGGACATTGAGCACTACAGATCTGTCTGCGGGCTGCTAGACAGCGCTGTATGAGTTTTGTTCAAAATTGATAAATATTGGATTTGTAGGCCTAATCAAGTTTCTAAATTAGACAAATTAGAATACTCCATTGCGCGTACCACACGAAGGCGATATAGAATTTTCCGTTTTCCAAAAGAGATATAGACAGTAGTGCTTTTTGGATGACCTCTCTCTCGCAAGAACAAAATGTATGCCTTTTAATTTCAGCTGTGTGTACAGCATATGGACATAACAAATACTGTGTCAGGTTTGCGTACCCATTTTCGCCTCATAATGTAAAGTTATTGGGGAAGATTCGAATAAAAATGCAAGCAGGCTGAAAGATCGGAGTGAAGACTCAGTAGTAACCAGCATCATAAAATAAAAAACCGTAAGTAATCCATGCATACGTGAATGCAGGCTCCGTGAAGTCAGTCAAATGGCCCGGATTAAACTCATCAAGTAAGGGAGATGTCCGAAGATAATTAGACTTATCCTACTGATTTGGGTTACAAAATGACACGCATATACTTACAAAACTAAAATAAAGCAGACGAATGATTTTTCAGGTCTATTAACCCTGGGTTAGCTAGTGAGGCCCCGTGACACGAAAAAACCCAACACATTACAATGAAGTTTAAACAAGAAAATTGTGTGATGCCAGGATCTTAATTGAAGTCAAAATAAGACTTGCATTTGTGCATCATAAATGTAACTAGGATATCAACTATTATGCTTACATCCACCTCGGTCTTAGGTTAAGACGAGTACAAGTGGATTTGTTTTGAGCCAAATGCACTGAATTGGTAGCCGAAACTAACATCCATTCAAATACAGAGGCCAAACAGATCAATGGTAATGTAGGTGATTTGAAAGATAGATCAAGCGATATATCACAAACACCAATCACTGACAGGAACAGCCTAAATTAGAGGTGACAAAATTACTACTTATTTGGAACCGAAATTTTGTCTTAAGTGCATGTATATTGCTTGTAACTGGACAAAGTATAACAGCAGACAAAAAGCCAATTGGCAAGTTAAAAGTGGTGAAGTAAAAAACAATGCGATATGAGGTATTTTTTGTGCTTGTTTAAACGTTGTTGTAACCATGTGCCCTTATATGTATAAATAGAGTACATTCTTTGTAGTTCTTCGAATATGTAATGCATCTAACGTGAATTTCCTAAGAGCTCTTTTTCCGCCCTGTCACTTTCAGTCTTTCACAAATGGCCCACCTAGGGTTAAGAAGCCTTCATTTGTACTTTTCTAGATGATTCAAAAGCATGTTATTAAGCTCTTACAAGCCAAACTGTGGTTATACAGATGGAAAACGGTATTTTTTCTGCAGGCATTCTACGAGGTATGGTATGGGAAAGCTCCATGTCTTTGTGTGGGGGAATTTTCCATAAAATTTATGCCATTGTTCGTAAAAACCGGCAACCGGGAAACTGAACTGAGTTTCATCGAACAGGCTGTTTTATAAATAGTCAGAGATTCATAGATACGGCATATCTAAAGACCGGATTCTACAAGTGTTTTAAGTTGCCCAGAAATCACTGGCGTTAAAAACTGTCTGCAATAATTCAAGAAGACACGCGAAATTGTGAGAGCTTGGGGTTTAGGAAGGTTGAAAACCCTGGAAGAATCAGAGCGCAGACTAACCAAGATTGTCTGTGGTGAATTTTTTCGCCAAATTAGGGGCGACGACCGAAATAATTAAGCGTGTACTCAAACTACCAAAGACATTTGAGGAGTAACCTGGTGCATGTTTATTGGATCTGCGCACAAAATCAGCACATTTCGTAGCAACCCTTAACAGCCAAAGTGTGTACACAAATTTGAAGTCACAATGTAAATTTAAAATGTCGCTCAAATCATCTAAACGATGGATTATTTCGATTTGCCGCATGTGTACAGTCTGATGTACTCACTGACCAAACAGGAAATGAATGTCAACCATCTCAGTCGATCTACCTAGACGAAAGCTTACAAACTTCCCAACAAAATCTTCGACTGTGTCACTTTATTCCACCAAAGCCGGTTATTTCGGAAAATCTCCCCACTGATCGACTAAACACCTGAGTTACACTCTTCTTTATCTAATTTTCGCTATCTGCTCCACTTATTTTGGTGGACATGTTTATAATATTGCTTACACAACCTGCGACTGCATACTTAGTTTTTAGTGAAGATTTCTAATGTTTAAAATTTACGCAGTCAGAGTCAGTAGTGAACCATTAATTCTGAGTAAGACGACTTGATGGAGCTAAGCCCACTTCGAAAGCCTAAGTTTATCGAACGACGGTTTTTAGTGCTCCCGTGTTTTAAAATACTATACCTTGTAAGAGCACTAGTGTTGGCAACGACTGTGTCCGGTTTCTCTGCCCAACGTATTTTACCAAGTTTAAAGCCCACATTTGTGCTGGCTTCGACTGCGTGCACAACTGTGGCAAAATCGTCCAGAGTTTTTCTCGCATATAGAGTTGAGGGATAAAAGTCACCCAATATGAAATGCTTCTGTTGGCAAGTATAACAACTGGATATGCTGTGGCTACATCAAATTGGACCCACTCAAGGTTCTGAGAAGATATCATGATGGGTTGTTAGAACTGACCGTCAGATAATAAACCCTACAAGAAATAACTGGTTATCCCTGTTTGATGTGACAAAGACTCCTTTTTGACGCCCTTTGCAGCGGCTGTGACAAGAAGTACGCTACATACCCGTGGATACCTCTGTATCGGTGACACTGCTGTGTAAATAATTGCATTATAACCGATAATGCTTGATTGATAGCGTGTCGGTAGCAGATACCATTTTTTCAAGTTATGTCGATCGAATCCCAGGATATGAAATCGCGAATGTAGCCAAGGGTATTACGAGTGCAGAAGCTTGAACAATCTGTGTGACGAAACTATCTTAATCCGTAGATGGCCTGTTTTTTGATATAGTGACTATTTCGTGCAAAGTTCCTTAATGATCTCCTGGCTTCTGGGAATTCAGGGGAATAATTTCTTAATTATCCTTGTGAAGACGCCAGTAAGTGTTGATTTTTAAGCCATGATCCCTGTCAAAACTCGCGGAAAACTAAAATTGACGGAATACTCAACAATCCGTGGCACATCAGGATCATGGGCCAACTTTGTCCTTACAGATTATTCCCTGAGTTCACAGACAGCCAATAAAACTACACCTCGGTGGTATTATTTTCCATCGCCTGTGCTATAACATGGGGACTTTATGTTCACATGCCACTTTATCTCCTTATCTGTCCGTTACCTTTCGGCGATATTGGCGGGTTTTGGAAACATCTGTTTCCTTATTTTCTTGACATTCCACTGGTGAAAATTATTTAACAACAATCCTCGGGTTTTGGGCGTAAAAGTAGGCTCATTTTCCTAGTTCTTTCACACTTGTTTTCCTTAACCATATACAAAACCACAAGCTTATATAATTGTGAGCACATTTACAAGTTGACTCGGTTTTAATGAGAAACTCAGTGGAATCTTGCATTTCGGATACGCAGAACCGGAATTCGTTGCCTGCAGGTTGCCTCACGTTCCACTTGGAATGACATTCACCTTAACGAAGGGTATTTTCCCTAGGTACGTCTTAATGTAAGGCTGATGAGACTTCGTCACATGTCTGGCGCAGAGTATGCATGGACAACATGTGGTACCCTAACAGGATGCCTTAGGAACTACTTTATTTGACCGTATTTTAGACAGTCAAGTTGAGACTTTTGATAATGCTTTTATAAAGGTTTGTGTTGCCTCTGGAAGGTTGATTTGAACTTAAACCACAATCTTCCTTGAAGACATCGGAAGAAGTTTATGTATACTGTTGAATAGCCCATTGGAGATTGTATTCTAACCATTCGTTCATTTGGTTTTTACTAATGTGGCCCTTAACACTTCTGTAACTGAAAGAGTTTCTAGCGAATTTCCAGTATGGCAATGCAGAAAGAATTCATTGTGCCATTAGCGTAGCCTACTGGTATTGCCCAGGCTCGTACGCGGACACACAACGTATTTTAATGTGTTTAGAAAAAGGAGAGGACAGCGCTACCAAAATAAGCCAAAACAACCAAAAATGCTGAAAAAGGATCCTCATAGCAATTGAAACTTGGCTTCTAACGAGAACATTACATATCGTCATGGAGTGAACTTATTTTCATTATAAAACTTCTAATTTTATAGGACATGCTGTGAACCTTGCTCTCTGTTCTCCACATTTCATTCAAGGCCACTCAATATGGAGGTGATACCGGAACCCGTCCGACATGTCAATCGTCCACCGGAAAAGCGTGAACCCCTTTACTTTGCAAGTGAGCATAGTTTCTTGAAGGAATTCGATATGGGCCTATCTGGCCACGTTTGGCTATGGTACTGTTCTATCATTTCGGCCACCAATTTGTTCCCGCTGCCTCATCGGAGTCAATCATTTTAGCCCAGCTCACAGAGATACGCGTTATTTCCGGCAGTGGTTATGGCTTATTTGTCAGTGTGCGTCATATTTTTATGCAAACAAAATGTGTATGATAGCGGATATTTATAGGTAGGTATAACTTGATGAGACTCAAGATAGTGCAACTTCTCCTTTCGTACAAAATGCAAAGAGCCACCGTCGGGCTTTACACGGACGAAAAAGTTATTCTCAGGAACCTCAATTTTCCCCGTACTTTCGTCCACGGTGGTCAAGCTACTTATTGCGTCGCAGCACAATGAAAATAGTCATGTTTACATGTGCCTACTGCGTGATGAAGCTAACAATAAAGCAGAACTATTTTTGTTAGCTATTGTGTTCCACATATCACAATTTCACCAGGGATACATTCATAAGTGGAGACGGATGCTGTAAACTCACGCCGTTTGGTCAACCGAAAAAAGTGCAACTTCTCCTTTCGTACAAAATGCAAAGAGCCACCGTCGGGCTTTACACGGACGAAAAAGTTATTCTCAGGAACCTCAATTTTCCCCGTACTTTCGTCCACGGTGGTCAAGCTACTTATTGCGTCGCAGCACAATGAAAATAGTCATGTTTACATGTGCCTACTGCGTGATGAAGCTAACAATAAAGCAGAACTATTTTTGTTAGCTATTGTGTTCCACATATCACAATTTCACCAGGGATACATTCATAAGTGGAGACGGATGCTGTAAACTCACGCCGTTTGGTCAACCGAAAAAAGCCATATCGGGAATATATTCATAGTGGATGTCCTCTTTTAACCGAACTTTCCTTGAATTATGATTAAATATTTCATCCCGGTAATGTTGGATGTTAACTTCTCAAAGAAGCTAATACAGCCATAAATTACTCGTATTTATTCTTTGTCTCAATGGGCTTTACGTAGTTTTCCGGGAAAACGGACATCTGTTTGTTACTACAAATTGTCGGATAACTGCAACCCTCACCTGTGAGCACCATATGGTTCTCAAGACTAAAAATCTGAGTGCCACACCATTCCCGAAGCAGCGTGTCCGGAGTCATACTCTCAGTTTCTTTTATTTACTCCCTTTAATCCGTCTTGGTGACCGCCACCCTTGTCAATGGAAGGAAAGGCAAATCAGCTTGGATGTCACCTCACTTAGTGAGCTAGAGCTTGAATCATTCGAAGAGATGGATGAGCAGTGTCAAGTGGTGATGTCAACTGATTGCTTTTGAGATTTATCTGTTGACAGCAATGAAGGGCCTGGAATTCCGTGGACGCTTTCCTGAACACAAAACGGAAATATCAGGCTATTGGATCACAACTGCATCAGTTTCTTATGGAAGTCATAATTCAAAGAAACCTGTTTCCCACGTCGTCCGATTGTTCTCACAGATACAGCTTTGATCAACATCTGTATTAGTTCCAGTCCAACTAATCGACACCATCATAATTCGTCCCTTTACCACTTACTTACTTAATGCCACACGTCAACAGGTTCCCAGTAACCCTAATCTTATATTGGATAACTCGACGCAGCAGTGCTTGCACGTGGGGAGCTTGTATGAAATGTGACAACGATGACGTTGTATCCGTCACAGACAGATTTTAAACAGGATTAATTTCACAACTGGCTTCAATGTCTGAAGACAGATTCTTGTGTGCAAAATAGCCCATCCAAAGATGTCCCTACGTAATCATATCTTCAGGAAAAGAAGATGGTTGCAGTATGAGTCGTCATCTCATTTAGGCAAACCAGTACCAATAGAAGAGCAGTCTTTGCTTGTAAATCGTTCACATAAGAAGCTTTCCATCTATTCTCCGTCGGCGTGGAAACATTTGGGGTTTAGAAAGAGACTACTTAGGAAAAACACAGATCGTTCTTGATCTGTGTCAGTAAACACAAGTCACAACCTGGAGTGTGCTTGAGTTGATGCATGTAGGGCACTACCCTACTCTAGCATAGACACCGAAGAATGTACTGATTAACACGGCGACGTAGTGATGCACTGGTGTAAAACGTTTTTTTTCTAATTAGTCTTTAGACTATAGTCAGTGTGAGGCATCAATTTAGGCACCAGAGAAGTAGACTGCAAAGCATATACCAAAAGAACTGTTCGAAAAACTTGAATCCGCCACCCGACGCTACCTATGCATTTAAACCACCATTCCTGCCTCGCGCAAAAGCTGTGATATGCTTCCGAATTTTGGCTTGTCCGACCAGAATGGAATTGATATACTTGTCCTTACTACATCAAAGCAAGTTGATGTTATGATAGATTTGACTTTACTTATTCAGTCTAGCCCTGCTTATTGAACCATTATTTTCGAATTTACTTTGTGCTGAGACTTGATGCAATCTTTAAATTCGTCACCTGGATAGCCCCGTGGATTAATTGTGAACAACTCCTTCGTGCACTCGCATTATTGCCACTTCATTTAATATGCAACTTTGTCTACCGGGTGTCTAAGTCTCTATTCAAGACACTGGCAAGGCGTGAATGAAGGAGATGGTTCACTTCATCTTCACTCAGGAAGTGCTCCGAATACATCTCTTCGCCTTTTATCTTTCTCTACTCTCCTAGAATAATGATGCTTCACATCTAAGAAGTTGGAGACGAATTGTAACAGGCAGTTCATGTAAATTTTGTAAGTAATGTCTATTTTGCAAAACGGGCTATAAACTATAAGTGAATGTATGCAGTAATCTGTGAACCATCGTGGGTCGGAAAATAAAAGAGAGAAAACAACGCACTGCATCTATTCATGAACATAAAAAAGCCTTTTAATATTATCAGAAAAGATTCTTTATTTATTTAAATCGAACTAAGATACGGGGGTTTGTTGTGAGCATGATACTAAGTACTTAAACGTCCAAGACCTAATTGTAATGCACCAAAATGTCACATGACAACAGCCAACCAAAAATATCTAAGTTCCGGGAAAAATGCAATCAATAAAAGAGTTGAGGTCTTTGCCTCCATAAACGGTGAGGAAATGCGAGCATCAAAGCTTGTGAACACTAATCTATGTACGGTTGAATAATGGCGATTAAAGAAAGGATGAAATGGCTACTTCTGCATCACCATGCCTGCGGGTATTTTGATGTTGACTACAAGCCTTCTGAACTCATTGAAATGCTGGCAGACGAAGAAGACAAACTAGAAAATTTAAAAAGACACAAGACTCGCACGTTCACACCATGAGGTCATTTTGTGAGGTCACTGAAGAACATCACATCAAAAAGACAGAGACAGGTTTAGGGGCGATGTGACATGATGCTTTGAGAACTGGGAGTTTGTTTATGCAAAATGGAAAAGGGACTTCCGTATTTTGTCAAACACATGGAAGACTTCGCTTAAGGATCTCACACTGGAACTAAGATGTCGTTGATGAATAAACTGCGGAGATTACACAAATCTTGAAAGTTAAATATGCCCTCGTGGTCCTCGGGGAAGATCAACTTTGCATGTTTGGCAGGTCGGCGTGATCAAAGAGGTCTAGATAGAAGGATGAGTAGCCTGTAAAAAGTAGGAAGAGTAACGATTGTGACTAGTTGGTCAAGAGTGGAAACTCAGAAAATAATGTCAGCTTGGCACCAGGATACGCCCAAGTTGTTTTGATGTGAGTTAAAGGATCACTGCCATTAGAATATAGATTGAAACGAGCGTGATATAGAAAGCAGCCACATAGAAGACTAATCACATTTCTGTTAACGTCGGTTGAGGCATTCTTTGCGATTCCCGTAAAGACCAAACTGAAACCATCTTCCCTGGGGAGTGTGTCAGAAACAGATGCACCAAGTACTAAAAATAGAGGCGCATAAAGATACACGCTTTCAAGAAGTAAACATTGTTTCAAGAACATTGCGATGGTGACGGTGTACTTCCGTCACGATCCTTTATAAACATTTTGTTGAATGGAAAATAAAAGTCAGAGTGTGTGTCAGAAAAAACTGACCACTGATAACATATATGAATACTGGTAAACCAATTATAGCATATAATCATGCCACTGGGGACTATGTGTCTATTTGTGTGACCCAGAAGGAGTGCTTCTGTAAGCCCTAGGGTACTTTGCAGCCTCCGAAAGCAATTTATATTATACTACTTTATTTCTATCGAATCACTGTGCAGGATGCAACTGAAGACTATAAATCGCAGACCTTTAGTTCGACATATCAGCTGTGGTCCAACGCTGATGTATGATAAAACGATGTTTGTCTCCGAAAGAAGTGCGGCGCAAAACAGTTCGACTCAAGTAAGGCAAAGTATTATGCTTCCAATAACCACAGCAATCCATATAATTACCCAAACGTAGTTACCATAGGAACATCAGCTGTGATACCGATATCTAAGTGCGTATCTAGGAGGCTGCAATAAACGGAAGTGTATTTCTTTTTTAACAACCATGACTAATTTACACGTTTGGTTAACGACGATGAAATATTCTAGCAATAAATTAGAGGGCCGACTATTCAATCTGGGAACCATATATGGAGTTGGTAACTGAAAACAAGCTTGTTAGATACAGGAACTTCTGAGTACCAATCACAGTGCTTCATACATTGCAGAGTATTATTAATAATTTAGTGGCCACCAGTCACACAGATTCATGGACGTCGTACAAATGTTGCCTTGCTCAAAAATGTACAAGAAAAACCACAGTGGGTTTGTTTTACAAATTTCCCACAAATTATAGGAATAAAAGTGGCACGATTTATAAAACGAACCAACCAGGAGTACTCAGACTGCTCCTTGAAGGCCTTACTTAAGCTGTGAGTCAACTCAAAACAATGTTTACGGCAAAAACATCAGCGAAAAAATTCCCTCCGATTCGAAAAAAACGCCCTTGACCAATATATATATATATATATATGTGTATATGTCGAAATTCATTATATAGGAAAACAATGTTGAATTATGGAAGAGTACTTCATGATTTCGCTTGCTGCAGACTTTTTGGTTGCCACCACATGTTTGTGAGTCACTCGAGTACACTCAGATACCTCTTTAATTTAGGTTTTGAGAGTACCCACATTAGTTCTATATTTGTGTTTGATATCAGTTCTTGGCCTGTTCACCAAATATGGTACTTAGTTTGCACTGTATGTGCAATCGACCACGGATATCACAAGCAATGGGAGTTGAATTAATATAGGATTTCTTTTCCTTAGGATTAGTGATTTTGTTCTTTTCGTCTTTCAATACTGAAGGATGCTCCTGAGTTCTACTGTCAGGACAATGACATCGTGTACAAACAAGACTGCTGTTGGAGTTAACTGAAACGCAGGCAAATGAAACGCTGTCGTTTTTTGTGTAGTTTTTTTGCAAGTCCGGAAGACCTAACAGCTACTTATCAGTTCCGCTTCTCCTCGAAATTCAGCGCTTCCTCTAGTGAGAGATTGGAAGTCAACGCAACACCTCACCTGCATGTTTAGAAGTTGCGTTATTAGACTTTAAGTTAGTTTCCTCACAGTGAACAAGTAACCGATCGATTGCTTAAAAAACAGCTTGCAAGCTCACACAGTGATATTTTGGGTTTACTTTGTTTGTCTTTTCCACTGGTGGAGCACTTTTCGACCTAATCGATCATGTGTTTCTTTTGTCACACGTCCAATTTGGCAATGGTTGTTTGTGTTTTCAGTAACAATGCTCTGATAGCTGCAAAGCATTGACATACTTTGATCAGTCTCGATAATGTGATGACTGAAAATAGACATCTGTCTTAGACACGGCCATCCTTTGTTTACAGCGACGTCTTATAAGAATACTGCGCTGAATACAACCTAGTAGCAAACAACGGCATTCCGTGAAATGAATTCCAAACCACACATAACATTCCTAATTCTGGTCCAACCAGGCAGTTAAAGGCTAATGAGCAGCGAGTTTTAGCCCAGCCGGACGGCTGGTTTTCTGGCATAAATTATCTGTTCTCAAATGTGCTCTTTCCACACTGGTCCGGAGAACTTTGGTACATGATTCCTTCTTAATCCTGACACACGGATCTTCTGTGAAACGGCAAAGAAGGAACTGTGTATCGTTTCAAATCCCCCTACGGCATGGAGTCAACTGACTAGCAAAAAAGGGTTGTTTGTCTGTTACTGTTAAGCACGAAAAGTTATTGGTACAACCTTGAATACACATCTAAAGCCTAATTTAGACTCTACTGTCTGGGATTTTAATGGCATCTTCAACCATTTACAGCTGGGATGGAACTGGAGCCTCCAATAGTCAACGCAGACACTTCTCTATTGGTCTATTGTTATGAACCGAATGTTGGCAAATATGTAAGTGCATGTTAAGTATTTCATGAAGATTCTTCCGAAAACTCTTGTTTTTTTACTCACACACAACTTCTGTGAAATATAAAATTGACTGTACATAATGCGTAAAGTTGGTGACGCTATAAAATTTGACTGTACTAATGCGTAAAGTTGGTGATGCTTTGTTTTGTTAAGAACCGACTAGAGTTACACAAACGGCTATCTCGAATGAGTGTTTTGGCGCCGCGAAAAAACCTTTTGATTGTCTAACACAGTTTGGTTGAAAGCGATCAGGAAATTTCGTTTCGCTTGAAGATATCAGACAGTTGCAGAATCCGAAACGAGTGAAAGAGTAAAACGGTGAACGGTACAGTGCGCGGACAAACTTCTATCAGACGGAAAACAAATGCGTTCTTTCAACCTGATCCGGTGTGAGATTTTGTCATTGTCCACTTTTGAGATCTGACTGGTATTTGTCATGAAGGCTTCCACCTTCTGTTAAAGTGTGTCGAATTTTCCTCTTCGTCTGATCAACATAAACCGATTAAAGCTCAGTGAGCAAATAAAAAGTGAGAGCCGCTGAAAAGCCCTAGCTTTCGGACATTCATTGAACCTGTCCAAAAAACTCATTGCAAATTCACTGACGAACTATTTCTGAACAAGCAAATTCAAGTACATTTTAAACTACAGCATTCTCAAAAGCACTGTTTGAGTTTTGGTGACACGGGTTATCTGTCAGGTGACTGGAGCTCTACAGCTGAGAATATGCATCAATGATGGGAAAGAAAAGCGAGCAGTCCTACCCGATTTAATATCGACCAATCAGGATAGTCCCACCAGGACAGCATATCTGGTCAGACGGAGATATCAAAATTAAGATTCAACAAATCTCCCGCCCGTTGAGAACAATGTATTAGTTAATGAAACTGTGAATGAGTAAACCTAAAACATGTATTATGTCGACCAGCCAAATGCCTCTTAATTTGTTTTATTAGGTTGTTAGAAAATGTGACATAACGTCTTATTTGAATTTAGGAAAACCTAATAGAATGTTTGCTACTGAATAAAATGCGTACGTTTAATGGAATGCTTCTTTCGTAAACACCATAGGTGTTCACGCTACAGGCAACCAAGACTGGCTGCATGACATAATTGCCAAAATGCAAGCACATCAACGTTTTTTTAAATGCCAACTTGTAGCAGCTTCAAAGTAAACCAAAGGCCGGCGCAACTCAGATATATGAATTTTTATTTCAGATGGGTGAGGTAGTTTGGCGTTTAGTGCAAGATTCTCAGCGGAGTTGAAATTTTGACTTCTGTGTCAATCACTACCACAGTCTCAAGTTTGAAAAAAGCAAGCGGATTATTGAGAAAATTCAGGGGGAAATCAGATTTTATCAACCTGGCGAAGGATTCGCAGCTGTAACATGTTACTGGATCGCATGTTGACATTTTGAACACCCTTATTACTTTCACTTATCTTGCAAATTGATCCTTGTTCTGGTGAAAATCAACCGTAATGACAAATCGATCCACTTCTCTGATGAAATTCACCGGGCATTGAGCTAACCAATTAAATGAGCCGGACACCACGTTCGCCCAGTCACTACAAGCTTGTCAGTGCATATATGTAGGGTCGCCCTCATTTCGAATGGCAATCTGGAATGTTTTGTCCATTTGTTCACTATTGGGTAGAGCACAACCAATAAACCATCGCTACGCACCACTATGCTCCCCAATAACGCACTGATGATGTCATCTCGATTGGTGATGAAACGTTTGCAATCAAATTGCCCAGCTCAGCGAACAAGCCAACGACCATCTGCGCTACCTAAGATACCAACATTTTCCTGTATAGATAGAGCAACATTAAATAACTAACATAAACGGTTATATCTTTCCCAAACTAAGTTGGGGTATTGCGTCTTTTCGCAGCAATTTTGGGTGCTGCTGAGTTTTGTCGCAGTTGCCGCTCAATCATATTTGCCTTACTAGCAGCCTCACATTAGACTAAGTTGTTAACAAAATGGCCTGACAACCGTTGATTCAACTGTTCTGCTTGAGCAGCCAACTAAGTCACAGAACACTGAGGAAAACCGTTTCCATGGTCTCTGTTACTTATTTAAAAACCTTTCCAAAACAATCAAGACGGTGAAATTGGACTATATGACATTCCTTATGGTATGCTAACCATAGCAAAAGACCTGCCTTTTTTCTTGGGGTTTGTGTCTGTGACTTCCCGACGTAATCCCACACCAACACTACATGAAGGGATAACTGCTAAATTAAAAATTTTACACAGCAAAACCATGGAATATGAATCATTAGCACCGGTGCTTTGGCAATTGTTTACACTTGTCAACACACACACGGATAATAGTTTTGCCAGAATTCAAGTGATTACCACAACCCCGTAAGTGGACAAAATTGCACGAGCAGATCATCAATCACTAGTGACTTGTCTCTAGGGTTGTTCAGTATTTCTTTCCTTTATTGAAACAGCGTACTTGCATTAGTACGTACATGTTTAGCAAACAGCGTTACCATGGGACCGTTGCGTTATCTGGATTCAAGGCCATTGTTTCGAGCACCGGTGTAGCATGTGATTGTTTGGCATACGGAGCGGGTCATCTTCGACATAGGCAGTAATCCTAACACGGATAAGTGTAGATGCGTTAGTTGAGGATCAAGTGATAGTGAAGGACTAAGTAGCCGGCGTGTGAAAACAAAGATTAGGAGAACAAGATTTTTCATGGACAGGTAGTTTGGCGCATGGGACAAAAGAATAAACGTAATCCTCGGTAAATGTATTTCGTTGTTATAATAAGAAAATGAGAGATAGGCAGGGAAGAATCGGAGTTGCCAGGAACCCCTTCCATATAATTCTCACGAACAAATATCTAAGTATCAAAGAATAACCAATATACATGGGTCACATTTATTTTATAGCACTGCAGAAGGATTTCCGCTAAATAGTTGATTACTTTTCGATACGGTAAGAAGCACACGTGTGGTTCTATGTATAACCAGCTGTTAGCTTATTCAGATAGTTTTGAAAACTTGTGTCCTTTACATTTTACACAACAAGAGGTGTGAACCTTAGACAGAAGCCTCAGAAGAATGTCATCATATCTGGTAACTCATGTATCTTCCCTATTCTCTTGAAATAACCTATCAGTCATTGATGGCTGCCAATCTTACATACTACTCACCACCTTGCCATTCAAAAAAGTGTCCGTATTTCTAGTAAAGAAAAGTTTTTAAGTCTTGGCATTTAACTGTGCTCGGTTTTCCAGACATACTACAACAGACATCTCATAACATTAGTTTAGGTTTTTCTGGAGGCGCTCGATATTATTTGCTATAACCAACGTGTTATGGATCTGTTTGTCGCTGTACGGTTTCTGAGAAATTTAACCTTACCTTCACAATAAGAACTGATCTAATTCCTAGTCGGTTCTAAGATGAAAACTTGTCGTTGCCATCTCAAAGGAGAGGCGGCTACCCAAATAAGTAAGCATTTGGAACTCAGGAAGACAGCTAACATTGAACAGGAAATCCGGGGTCACATTAGATCCCCACCTCTGTTTCAATTTTCGCAACATGGCGCTCAAGTACACTCCGACCTCGTGTTGTCTACATGAATCGCTTGTATTTTGTTGTTAACGAACTTTTGTGGTATCTAGACGAGGCATTGTCCCCAGGCATGCATCCGAACCCAATAGAGAAGATCCAATTAGACAGGTAAACCGTTTTGGATGTGCAGCCATCACTGCGAGCTGCACTTAACCAAATTTGGTAACACATCACAGAAAATGCCCCTGATTTTGTAACCTAACGACACCAACCTGAAATGGAATATGACGCTCTAGAACGCGATATTCGTTCACCTTGAGTTTCCTTTCATAATTATTTTCAGATTTCCACATTGAGTTTGTTGATTATCAAGCTGATCTCAGTCACCCACTATTGGTGAGAGAGACCAGCTAAGCGAAATCCATTGCGTGTAGACACGATGCCACTCAGCTTTATTCGATGTTTAGTTACGTGGGATGTTATGGGGGTACCTCAGCTATGAACTTATAGCCAGCGTGACCGAGTAAACGTGACGGTGATTTATAACTTTGACGACCTCCTAGTAATCTGGTTAAAATTCTTTTCAAAGATACAGGTGTAAGGTGGAACCTCAACTTTAGGCTACCATTGTTTTGAGCTTCAGTTAGACCCTATTGACTGGTTATATTGTATTTCCCACGGAAAAGTGGATAGGGTACGATTTGATGGTTCTCTATTGAGGGTCAATAATTAGCTGCACAAAGAATCTGACATCTGATTAGTATTCAAGTTTCCACAGGACGAGGCACACCTGACCTATCGATCCACCCGGATGTACTAGAGTTGTTAACGGTCGCATTTTCCACAGAGTTATGTTAATGCCCCCGCTATGCAAAAATGCTTAGCTCAAGAGCGTACAGTCGACCCCGAGTGGCCAGAAACTTCAGCAAAAAACTGATTTGGTTGCAATAAAGGAATGTTTGATCATGTGGCTTTTCTAAGTCGAGAAAATACAAATGACAAATATCTAACAAACTTTTAAAGATCGTTGAAAATTTTAAGTTAGAACTTGATATGTAACCCCGAATGTCATGGCCTGCACGTCATTTTTCCACAGAAAAATAACGTATTCGCTGTAGAAAGAATAAAATCACTTGAAAAGGTACTCCATTTGTTATCATAATTTCCTATCTCTACTCATGAATCATTCATTTTGTTGGATGATTTAATCATGCAAAATCAACCTGCTTTTTTGACAAATCAGCAATTGTGGACAAAAAGGTATGTTTTTGGAAGCCTTCCGCTTGTAACTTGGTGCTCCTTACGCTTGGTATTTGCCTTAGCATGCTTTAAGTTTCAAAATAAAAGTGAAACATTTAATCGTGTGGCAGTGTTTCTTATTTTGTACAGTTTGGGGCTTCAAAAACCGATGGAAAAGTTGCTGAAGTATATGAACCTTCTCCGAGTTCCGAAATATTATGCTTCGAATCCCGGTTCGAGAGTGGGAACTTGAGGAAAGCGGTTTGCACGTAAGTTGAGAATACCATAAACATGGAGTTATCTCAGTACTAACGCCTTGGCAATGTTGTAGAATGTAGGTAGCTCTGGTTCGCTGCTTGGTTGTTCGTCTGTTCGCCGAACTTGGCAAGCTCGGAGAATGGTCTAGATTTGCATGCCCTCAGGTTGGTTAAAGGAAGAACCTACTTATCTTGTTCATCTTCTGTGAGCCGTGATGGTGTCCACGGATTCCGTTCTGCGTCCATTGTAAAGAACAAGAATATGTTAGTTAGTAGTATGACCGATCAACTATCCAGCACACTTGCCACACCTTAGTACTGATTGAATCTTGTAAAAGCAATCAGTCTAAATTTTTCTATTTTCTGTTCTCTCACCTGCTACTTGCCATTTCAACTATGGCTATTCACCAATTCTTAATACCTTCAAATGTCTCCGAGCCTTCTGTCTGGGGTAGCAGCCCCCGTTTCGTTTTGTTTCGTTTCGTACCCATGCTTCATAGCCTGCTACAATTATATAACGTCCCATTCGTCTTTCCCTGTCCTCTCGTGTACTTCCATCTGCTCGAAAAATTCCCGAGTACACCTTATCCCCAAGCGTCTCTTCGTTCAACTCCATCTCCGTCACCCCTATTTTTTCCAACGTTGTGCAGTCAATCTTTGGTGAAAAAACATGTGATACAGAATTAGACAGTCTTCCAAGCGGTAACCAGTACGAGTCCATGAATTATCTTTCATGTTCATAGCTCTGCTGGTGACCTTTGGGTGCATGCATTTTGGGTATAGCATTTGTCCTGAATTCCTTTGGTGAAACCAAACTGGCGCGATTCGAAAAGATGAAGGTTTTCGCTTAGGTATGGTATGGTGATCCAGCTGCGAGACTGACAATGGAAGGACTACATCCTGATTTGATGGACCAGACTGTAAGTAACTGTAACCGCTTGGCGGTCCATTTCCTCTTATCCATAACATCAATGCAGATGTTTTGGAAGCTTTTGTCCTTTCTCTTAGGTTGTTTCCATTGTTTATCAAAGACCGTTGCATCCATGTTTATCCAACATATGCAATCTTCAACATTTTTAACACCCGTCACTCAAAAAGATCTGCCCTTTCTCATATTCCTTTCTCTCTATGCCTTTAGTGCTTTAAGCGCCAGTCATGTCTGAAGATACCAACACTGAGTCACGCTAAATATAAACATAGTTTCTTCTTCTCCATACTATTATCATTTATTTTTGAGGAACATGATCACAAACATAAAAGGTGAATACAAGCGATGAATGCGAAAGAGTAACAGGAGAATATGGGAGAAAAGAGAGAAACGTCTCATTCGAAATCATGCCAAGAACAGTTCCAGTCTGATGAGGTGAATCCCAGAGTATGTAAAGATTTTGGTATGGAAACAGGCGTCTAAAGACCCACAACCGAAGAAAGGACAAACAGTGTGGAATGCTCTTCAAGGCCAGGTAGGCGCTAGCACAGTCAAGAATCGCACATCAGGCACAAAGTGTCCGTCATACTGTGTCTGGTGTGAAATTAAATGGCAAAAATGTACCTTCAACGCCATGTGCCACGCATAAAAGTGTCATAAGTACGCAGGGAGCCCACAATGGCAAGCAAACACAAGTCACTGACTGCGACCTTAGGAAGTCCCAGTCCAATAACAGCCTTAGCGGATTCAGAGAAGCAGATCCCTCGATAGGAGATGATCACCGGTTGCTGAACCAAAAAGTCGATATCACAACCGATGGCATGTAGGGCTGAGATTATGGCGAGGGAATGTTCATCAGCACCATACTTCTGCTTCTTCTCATTCCACACTATCTCTCCACGCCCATCCGAGACTATGCTAACGTCTATTACGGTTGCACGGCGATCTCGAACAGCGATTAGGTCAGGTTTGATGAACGACGTAGAAGTAGGGGTTCTCAACTCCTCGAAGACGGTGTACCCCAGTCGACGGAGACGTTTTGCAAGTTCCCTTGCAACCCGATTATGACGAGCACACCTGGCATCATGCGTAATCCAGCAGGATTGCAAAATATGCACCAAACTCTCCGGTTGGCCACAGTTTCCACGACATAAGATCGTCTGGCCACCATGACCATGCCGAGCGCTTCTAACTCTCGTCCTAAGCAGGTTGCATCGGAGCTGGATACCCCGGATAAATATCCGTGGAAACACTCGTTCTGGGAATACGAGCCATCGATTCGAGAGAGGCGAAGTGACCAACTCTCGTAAACCGCGACCGTCAGCGCTGTTGTGCAGACTTTCACCCCAAGCAGCCACCAGCTCCTCCTTGGTGTTTACGCATGCTCCATGGACTCGGATCGGAAGGCTGAGATCCCGAACAATTTTGCCGAATGCGGAATCGTTGACCACATTGCGTAGTACTCGGCACTGAGTAGAAAGGAGCTTTTCCATACGCGTTTTCCGCTGCATCGGGATTGTTGCACTCAGACTTGGGATACCAAGTCCCCCATGTTGTTTACCGGCGTGGATGTAGCTGATCGGGGTGTCCTTCGGTAGACGTAGCCAGCCACGAATATATTGCCTGATGTAGTTGTCCAATCTTTTTAGCGTGTTCCTGTGGACTTGGCCGAGCACGAGCGAATATGTCAGCCTTGGTATCAGGTAGTTCCTCGTGATATCCATTCTTTGATGCGGCTTCAACGGGGCACGCGTCACTTCTTCGAGCAGTTTGAGCAGGTGCTGTCGGTGGTTGAAGACCCCTTTCCCCTTGGAGGTAAAGGGAATGCCCAAATATGTTACAGTGTCTGTCGGACCCAGAGGAGTGATTAGTTCCTCGGCAAAGCGAAATGGTTCGACTGAGACTGCTGTTGCCCGATGTTTCCTGTCCCCACAAATAACCATCACTTTAGTCTTTCGGGCGTTTATTTTCATGCCAGCTCTTCCCAACTCGACCGCAGCAGCTTCAAGCTTCTCTTTAAGGCGTGCCTGACTTTCTGCACACACGACCCAGTCGTCAGCGAAAGCAAAACCATCTACTAAGGTGTCATGGAACTGGTATCCCAGTTGCGGCATCGACAATCCAAGAACCTCATCCATTGTCATAATGAATAATAATGGGGAGAGTGGATCTCCTTGCCTCACACCTCTGTGGCAGTGAACCTCGGAACTGGGGAAAACTGCTACAGCATTCTCATAGGACTGTGCGATGTATCGAACTAGAGGTGACGGAGCTCCAAACGCCTTGGCAGATCTGACGATTGTGTCATGCGAAACCGAATCGAACGCTTTCGAGATATCGACAAACGCCAAGCTGAGGTTAGAAGCAGTCGCTGAAGAGTGACGAAGCAGGGCATGCAACAGCGATGTGGCTTCCAAACAGCCGTCTCGATGCAGAAATGCAAACTGAAGAGAGGGCAGTTGCAATCTACGACGCCAGCGATCAGCAAGCACCTTATGGAAGCAACTGACAAGAATGGATGACACGGAGATCCGTTTCAGTTGGTCTGGTGAAGTCGGATGTGGGACCTTTGGAACTAGAGTAATACGGACTCGACACAGATGTGGGGGACAACCCCCAGATAACAAAAATAAGTTGAAATATCCAGCGAGCACACTGGCATTGAACCGGCGGAGCGTCCTGGGTGTGAGCTTGTCCAGGCCTGGGGACGAATTGCCCATTAAACGGATCGTACGGCCAACTTCCTCTCCTGTAATTGACTCGATCAAGCTCCAGTCGGATGGTACTACTATGCGACTTGGTCGGCTATCCGCGTGTTTTGGAGCTGAGAGCACTTGTTTCCAACACTTTTCGGCGTCCGTAGGTAGGCCGCAGTTTCCGTTGGATAAATCTTTCCATGACCCATCGAGTACAGCAGACGCTGCATCTTTCCGTCTTTGGTGGTATAGGGTCTGGATGGCGGCGTAGTTGGCTCGGCGGATCTGCTTTCGGTTGACCGGGATCCGATGGGCTAACTGACGGCGACGTCGGGAAACAGTTTTCCAGGTGTGTGGAAATGTCCTGGAGGCGTGGAGGTCCAGAAGCGACAGGACTTGCTCTGGTGTCATGATGCCAGACTGCAACCCTTGGGCAAATGCCAGAGTATCAACACTAGTAAGCGAACGGCCAGCATGGGATTCCAAGAGTGACACGATGCAATCCACGGTTTGTTTAAACCAGACGCTGTAGTCATCTGCTTCTGATGAGTAGGCCGTCGTCTTGCCGATAGTTTGCTCAGGTTCATCGGATGATGATTCGTCCTGTGGTGCATGCCAGTTAAGCACCCGTAACCTGGTTTTGATGCTATTAGCCGATCGACCAGGAAAATACTGCTCCAATCTCGTGAACAGCTCGGTTTGCGTGCCACAAGATGGATATAAATTGTTAGCCAGGCGTAAGAGCGATTGTGACTCTTGCTGGGACCAGAGGGTACCGGAATACTTCACTCGGCCAAGCTTATCTGCATTATGCTGGGTGGGGTGTGCGTGCCGGCGGTGTTGACTCAGGCCAATCTTCGTCGGAAAAAGGCGGGAACAATCAGCGCAGGCCAATTGGGCGACTGTGTTCGTACCAACACTTTCATTGTCGTGAACTCGATGATGGGCTACCAAGCCAGCTTTCGATTTGCAGCACTTGCCACATTCCTCACACGTGAACCCAACGAGTCTCTCCTGTGTACTGGTTGTAACTGATTCGGAGGCGCCAGATGATTCGTAGTATACATTGTCGAAAGTAACCAGCACATTGAAACCAAACGGGGTGGTTGGCCCTGTCTGGAGTTGCTGAACTCTTAGCTCACCCAGACTAACGTCCAGGTTACCCGGTCGGCACCACAAGGAGGTGGTTCAGCTCGCCGACTAAACGGCGTTACCGTTTACCGATTCTCATGCGCTTTCCAATCTTCCAGCTTCTGCCCGTTTTTAGACAATTTCACTTGATCTCGGCAAATAAGAATTTAGTGTAATCCCAGCCTTTAAAAGACTCTTCTTTTCTCCATGTCATCAAATATTTCTCCCCATCTCCGACTCCTTCCATTATAATACTTCCAAGTCTGCTCCCCTGTGGACTTTTAAAGTGACAATGCTTCTTCTACCCTCGGGTGATATTCACTGAGAACCTTTTCATATCGTTGAATCTCTTCTTTGTTCTTTAACCTGCAAATTTCCCCTTGCCGTCAAGATGCAGCTCCTTGCTAGCGTTACTCTAAGGGCAAATGCTTCATTGAAGGTAGCCCCTCTATCCCACTACTTCAATGAATTTAACTGATAGACTCTCACATTCAGTTACAAAAGAAAAATTTATCTTTCTTCACTTTCCCTTAACTGTTGAAGATTTTTATTCTAATGCACTTCCAGGTTTTCCAACTCCTTATAACGTCTTAAAATTTCCTAGATTACCGTTCATCTGTTCAATTCTCCACACTACTTCACACCCGCGATCTGCCCGCCTATCTCCCTGTTTTCCATGTGTTATGGTACTTTGCCCGCTTCGATGACTGTTTCATCTTTTAAACCAAATCACGTTCTGTTGTTCTCACATGAGATCTCTGCTTTGGGATCCTACCACTTTTTGGGTTACGAAAACAAGAGAAGCAGAAGGAAAAATTAACTCTTTGAAGGATCCCGCTATCAGTCAGCAGCGATGTAGCCCACCTACGATGCAGAAGAATGACGCAACTGAAATGGTTTCATTAAACGAGCTTGGTGATAATGAGAACGCAATAAATCCATGCAGTAAGGTTAGAAAATCATTTGAATGTGTGCCAGCGATGGCCATTCGTCCCAAAAGTTGGTTAGTCTATTCGCTGTGGTAGCTGGTTGATGCCAATGACTGTAACTTTCATGGAAAAGGATTGGCCAAATTGTGAAGTATTCAACCGTCCTCGCTCTGCTTCTCATGTCATATACATAGGTGGGGAAGCTGGCACTAATGTTGAGGTAGTTTTCCACTAGCAAGGAGAGTGGATCTATCTGACAGCTGCATTGGTGAGAATTCACAATAGAAATCAGCAGCACTGGCAAAAGCATACCTCTGGTAGCGTGCAACCCTGGGGTTTCCTTCAATTCTTAAATAGCACAAAACATTTAGTAGCTAGCGGCGTCTGGTATGGGTCAGATTTCAACCTGTTTGGGGTTCAGCAACAACCTCTTTACTTTGGGTCAAGCCATTCCGCTCATCTGAACCCGCGGTTTTTCTCGACTTAAAAAACCTTCTAGATATTCTTAGTATAAGGGGTTGCCTCCAAAGTTCGTAGACATTCTTCGTATCCCGTATTTTAACAGCCGGGTAGGACTAGGATGTACAGCTAACTATCCAAAGGCCTCTTGCCACTAATGGGGTTCGAAAGAGTTTTCCTCATCATACAGTTTGTGAGATTTCGTCATCGACATTATCATAGGAGGAGACCAAGACGACATAATGAATCTGAACATTGCAATCCTGTATGATGGAAGATCAATGGGTTCGGTCATTCGGATGGTTTTGTTTTGTTTTCACGGCTATCTGCCAGCACCAGCTGCCCTAAACTAAATAGTAGAAGCGGTTTCCTGTTTTGGCATCCAGTCTACACCTTCAGAGTGCAAGGTTTTGTTTCAGGGTTTCCTAATTTTTGAAACTTCAAAGTGGGGAACTTAAATTCCTTCATCGGCTCGAAAAATGAAGTGAGGCCACAAATTGATAAGTCTACTATGAAATGATCCAGTTGTTAAACGGTAGCGAGTCGGGATATGACAGTCCTTGATGGTAAGAACAAACGATAAGCAGAGGGAGTTGAACATATTTCGACTCTTAACATTTGGTAAGGAATTTCGACATGGAACTTATGCCAAACTACCCAGTTGCGATCTAAAGTTTCCGTAACTATCACAATATATGGCAAACACTAATCGTCTAACTAACGAATCATACGTGCTGCAAATATCCGGCAGTAAATACTACACAGCCGATTGGGCAGTTGGTTTTCACAAGTCATAATTAATGCAGAAACTCGAATTTTTCATAAGTATACTGGGGACAGTTTCAAGTAGACCTTTATGCCATATCTTTTCGTGTTGATTCGCAGTCGTCGACCGTTGGGCAATAGTTGGTTAAGAGTCTGTTGAATAATAGTTTTGTCTGACGGTTTCCCGGAGTAGGCGAAAAGGTTGTAGTTTACTTGCTGTCTAGTTCAATCATTACGCTCTGGATGACTCAGCGCAAAAATAATGGGATGCGACAAAGCTTCAAGGAACGCATTCAAAATATAAAGCCATAAGAATCAGATTAATTAATTTCGCGCTGCGCGATAATGTCAACGGTTTACGAGTGTTCTTATCCGTTCGACTCCTTATTGGACTGCCTAGTGTGGCCGCGGAGATCTGCTGTCATCCTAAATAGTAGCCAAGCAGAATCACCTCTACCGCTCTCTGAAATAAGTCCAAATTCTGCGGTTAAGAACGCGATCAACCACTACTTTTAATACTCGGATTTGATAGGTGAGAGTCATTTTAAAATCAGTTATCAGCCCTGCTTTCAATGATCCCTGCTCTACTTGTTCTGTGACAAATACGCAGAAGGATGTTCACACTATCCAGAGAAAACGTCGAATTTAGTGTGATGTTCAAAATCACATTCCACTTTTCATACCACAGAAAGCAAAAATGTATTTTACCTAGTTTCTTAAAACTTTATCCGGGTCTGACAAGGACACGTTGATACACCTGATGCACTCCACTGTCCAGTGCCACAACAATGGTGGGGAACGTTTAGTAGATTTAAGCTTTCCAAAGCAACGATATTATCCGTGGTTGGGGTTACGGATGACATTTCTACCAAGGTCTTCAATATTTTGGTAAATTTCCCCTCCCTCTGCCTCCTTCAGAGCGGCTGTTGTGGCGGTGCAATTGATCTTCACTGCGCACAAGTAAAATTGCCCTACTTAGTACAAGTCATTTCCATAGTTATGGTCGGCAACTTTGTTTAAACCGTTTTATCTGGTTTCCATCTAGTAACTGCTGTAAATGGGGAGAATTTTGTTAGGATATCATCTGTTTAGCTTGTCCAGGATCTGTATCCGCATTTGAGCGGATTTTGATCCCATCGTTGATTAAATGAAACTTCCGCCCATAGCCTAGCAACTTATTCCCACACTTGCCTTTGTTTTAGAGGACGGAACGAGTATCAACTCTATCTTCAACCAGATTTGTATACCGAAAAGTACACTCAGTGGTTTTACTTCCGAGTCAGCAATATGCGCCCTGGGACAAAATACAGATTCACGATTGTCAATATGTATAAAGTGAGTGTCGAGGAATTTTTATGGAAATAAGTTGATGTGTTGGTGTTTTTCACCTGCATTTGAGGTGTGTGACAATTTAATCTATCAAGGTTGTCTCAGTGACCCCAGTGGAATTGAGCATGAACCGACCAAGTTACTGTACCATTTCATCACAAACGAAAATGGCTTATTTTCAGTATGGATATTATTGAATGTCATTGTGCATGGTGAAGAGGAACATAGACAATATTTGAAGGACTTTACCTATTAAGCCGGGGCTTCAACGCCAAATGTGGTATTGACGTTAACTATAAGCGCTTAGAATTGCTAGTGACAATCAAAAGACTTTTGGATGTCCGCTCGTCAGTTTCAGTTCTCCGGTTATAAACCACAACTAAGCTCCGACTTTCAACGTTCCAGACTATGTCGACAAGCAAATACGTATCACATGTCAGCCATCACTACGTACCCACAAAACGGCCTTATGATAACTCGCATACCGTTTTTACACCGAGCACAACTTCGGGCCAAAAATCATACCACAGTTTTGAAGTGTTTCGGAAAGTGTTTTTCAAGGCAGGTTGAAATTTTCAATATTCAGGGAAGATGTCTTTCCTAACTGGAAAAATCACCAATTTCCGCAACTCCACGGTGTGGGCAATGCAGCAGTTGTCGTCATTCAGGACAGAAACTGAGCGAAGTGCGTGCATCATACGAAAACTCAGTTTGACATCTTATGCATCTTATGCAGTGCACATAACTCTGTTGTGACTATTGCATTAGCCTGACTTCAGTACCGAGGATTTTTAAACAGGTTCAGCCAATAGTGTTAACTTGCGTGAACCAAATCCGGATCATTCACACCGGACGAGATGTGAAAGTAGGTTTCACCCTAACGGAAGCTATCGAAAAGTCCTGACAAGTTAAGCCTCATTTACGCAGTGCAGTACGAGTAAACCAAGACATTAAGGAGTGCCTAAAATCCAAGGGACAGATGTTTCAGGGGGACTGACAGTGCGCTCCTTGGTTTTTCTCATAGAGTAGGCTTGCTAGGATTCCTGGCTAACACGCTGAAATCAACAAGGCGAAGACCAGCCACCTAGATAACGACTTTGTAAAACTGTTTAAAAAAGCGTTGAGCTTTCTTCGAAGGCAGACAAAGTTCTGTGAGTTTTTTGTCAACTCAAAGTACACATAACACCCAAGGTTAGATCGTTTGAAAGTAGCCCAGATGTTACTGGAGATTACGAAGCCGGATTACGAAGACGGACGTAACTCTCTAAGGGCATAAAAATAAACCTCAATCTTGATAATTTGCAGATTAATAAATTCGCGAACATCAGGATGGAGGTATAGAAACAGGATATGTAATACCTTTGGTTTTGACCAACTTATTTTAAAATTTTCGCACAGAAAGCTTTGCTCGCACTGCTCAGCGAAAGTTATTTGGCCCTCTGTAAGTAACAGTTGACCAAATGTTCCATCCGGTCGTCTGAGTAATTTGAAGTCTCATAAATTTAGATGCACGGATAAGTTTCTATTCGGGAATTCTACCTCTCCTGAACTGTATGACATGTAAAAGAGGATGGGAGCTAAAAACTGCAATTTTCCAGAAACCATCAGATACAAGTTCCATCGTCAACTGTTTGTCAGCTAATTCAAAGTCGGTGTACGCTGGTATTGTCTCTTCAATGGATTGGAGTCAAAGCGCTACGCACTGAAGTTGTCGACAAGACTGCAGCAAAAAATGATACCTGAAACAGCCTGCAAGCATGTGGAGATAGTGAATTCCATCAACCGACAGTTAATGCCAGCAGTCACCCTGATTCCTGAGCCCAGTAAGCAGTGGATTAGCATGACTGGCATTTCATTCAAAACAGAAACATATGAAGTTATTCAGAATGGTAAACACAGCCAAGACTAGACTACCCTCCAGAAGGGAAAAGGATTAGGCCCACCATTGGTGTTATAGAAGGATCAACTCTACCCTGGATAGATCAAATTCAGAATGCAACAATTCTACTAAGGTGCACGCAAAGCAAACTGTAAAGGGACTACAAGTTACGAATAACCAAACAAATGAGAAGTGCAAATGCACATCGGAATCTGACTAAAGACCCGGTCATAGTTTGATGTCGTGCGCCAGACACAGCCTCTGGAATCTATTTGAGATATACCGAGGTTTCAAGACAAGGATTACCATTCACCTTACACTCAATGTACACCGAAGTAGACAACATCGCCAAGAATCCATGCAAATAGAATTGTGGGTGCATATCTGGGGAGGATAGGGGATGGGAAAGTTCTATGTAAACCTGATTATTACGTGCCAGTCAAGGTGAGCGTAGCAGAAGTGGTTTACGTTTGAAGTAAAAGGTTCAAGCTGACCAAAATTTTTGAAGATCCTCTACCAACCTAACTCGTGAAACTGACTCACCCTCTATCAGACCAACAAAAGTCATTAACGCTATCCAAGAGGAACCCCCACATGATGAGAAAGAAGAACCAGAACTTAAATCCTGTCGAATTCAACCATGTTTTTTCACCCCATCCATCTTATCAATTACTTGCTCACGCTCAACAGTAAAATTTCTTAGACATTACCCAGCACTAATTTAGCCTGTGGATAGAAGATACTGCTACTCGTTTCCGCTTCTGCGGTCAAACTCGATCAAACTTGTAACTTGGTTGCTAGGCCTGATGAAGATTTTGCGTTAAAGCAAACCTCTTGCCTTAAAAATAAGTCCACATCACATTCATTCCGATAATCTGAGTACCACTGAAACAACTAGAAATTTTTATTTCCCTGCTCTGAGCCATTAGGGATTTCCACACATGTCCTCGACGACATATGTTCAAAGTCTAAGTCATCAGCCCGATAATCTTTTAACCCTCTTTAGCATTTGATGCTTTTTAAGATAAGCTGTTTGTCTACTCACCATCAGGCAAATGGGTTTGTAAACGTAACAATCGTTGAAGTGTTTCGTAGTTTATTATTCGTTTTTTCATCACAAAATAGGGCAAATATGAAGAAAATGTGGTCATAATTTCAGCTTTTACTGTTTTAATGGTGATGCGAATAAGAACAATGTGTTCCTTCAGCATAGTTATGATGCATGTTTTGAGCAAGGCGTGGTCAGTCGAAATTTGTGTACGTTGTTTCATTTGGCCAACCTATAGAGCATGATTTATTTAAGATAACAGCTCAATTTTCGTTCCATCAGTCTAACTTTGCCTCATTTTGTCTGCTTTGTTTAGACTACCAGTCTCTTCTGCAGCGGAATGCGACCGCTGATGTACAGCGAAAAATCATTGAAGCTATATAATCGTGGGTGGCATCGAATCGGTGAGGATATCCGATATTATCGCACCCTGTGAGTCCCGTTAGTTGTCCTGGTGACCTACTTAGCGTTTTTCTCATTTGGTTTTGTGCGTATATGGAATGTTCCAAACCTCTGAAAAAGGTTAGTAAAGAGTGCTCTAGTTTGCAAACTTAGCAAATTCAAGAATAATCTGACAAAAGATGCGACATGGGTCAATCGAATAGATAGCATTATACGATCTACTGAAATCGTTTGCTTTATTTTCACGCTTTACCACTTCCTGTTTTAGTTAAATACTAAACAAACACGTGCGTTCTTTTTATCTCTAGTCCAGCTATCATACAAGGTTGCTTAACAATTTCTTTGAAATTCAGCATCAAGACAATAAAAGAACCTGGATTTTCTGTGAGGTGTATTGGTATTTAGTAAATGTTCACTGATTCACAAAAAATGCAGGTTATATTTGGCTAAAGATTACCTTGAGACGTACTATGAAATAAATTTTGAAGTTGTGTAGGCCATTGTCATCGGCATCATCATTCGATGAATGATTCAAAATGGTTTATGAAGTTATCTTGTGTTTGCTTTTGATAAAAAAGAAGTGTACATCTAGAAAGCCATTCCAACACTGTGGTAACGTGATGAAATGTGAAACAGGAGGACTTTCTAGCACGACCGCAATGTCAGTAGTTGATCAAACGTGGAGGGACTTAGCACGCATACAACGGCATACTGTTCTGTAGACTATTAGAAAATTTTCCAGATAGCATCTGGTGTCTTGAAGATTCTAGAACAGCTCCAAATGCCCAACGTTCCGAGCCAATTCAAGTTGAAAATACGTGCTAAGATACAGGTTGAACACATGGGATCAGCTGCATGGGACAGTCCTCCACCCACAAAGAGAGACCAATTTTATGGAGTAAAATTTTTTCTACCTCAGAGAATCACCGTCTGTCGCATCCTCATTTGGGAAAGCTTTCTGCTCGAAAATAACACACTTGGTTTTCTAGACTTCAGCACCAGGCAGTCCAATGAAGCGTTACGAGTGCCTCAATGTGGTTTTCTGGACCAGACGTAAGATAGCTTAGTCGGTGATTTTACCAAGAACACGTGAAAGATCTCTGTGTTAGATACATGTTAGTTGTGGTATTGCCCTAAGGTATTTAAAACAGAAAATTGGCTGAAAACATGCAGTTATCAGCTACAGAGTTCAATGGTTTTGTCACAAGACATATTGTCAGGAGCTCTTCTCATGAGATTGCTGCAGACTGTCAGTTGTTTTTCAGAAACTCAATCAGCAGTGTTTTCTAAGAAAAACACCGTACTGCCTAAAATAAGAGGTGGTCTTTGTGTAGCACATTCATTTGAAGAATATCATGGACGATAGACTCAGCTGGGACGCATCCGAGCCTCCCGTTAGGTGCAACTTAGTATGCGGATGAGTGTATCTCACGAATATTATGACGTTTTCGGTAGTAGGAGCTACCGATTCCCGGCACACTTTTTGTCACGATCACTTTGCAACGGCGAAGTGAGTCGCGTCGTTTCAATGTGTTCTCGATCTCGGGTCTGCACCACAGGCAACGACAGACTACCACCCACCCCATCCCCACTCCTATGAAATTCGGTTCGCATAACAGGTACGCTATGACCACACTGCTCCGTAGGCGTTCGAGACCAGCACACAGGCAAACGAAATCAGCATAGTTCGGCTGGTGCAATTCAAAGGCAGGTTGGAGGCAAGCCTTAAGCTCGTGTCACTGCTGCGCGAGCTTGAAAAAGTGGACTCGCCAAACTGTCAGTCTGTTGCGCAAAGATGTGGCGCAACGACGATCCTACTAAACAGCCCTAACATCCATGTGTGTACAGCCGAAGCTGGCCCTGGTGGTCGGATATAAAAAGGCGTGTGCCACAGGAACAGTGGTGAGTGGTTTGGTTCTCCATAGCCTTGCGTGAATAAGTAGGGGCTGTCGTAAACGCAATCTGTGAAATGTTGGAATGAATAAACAAGCGATCGGAATTACAGCCGTCAGGCCTTAACATTGAGTTCTCATACATATCAACGGCGTGGTGGCGATCAGACCGTATAAAATTTGTGATCCAAAAATGGGAGCAGGCTCACCATTCTTGACTGCAACGCCGTCCAGTTCTCGAACACAGGCCGTTCACAAATGCATGTCAGCTTAGATTGGATGCAGTCTTTACGTTTACCATATCCCGTTTTTCGATATACCCAATTATGTCAACGAGGGTTAGCAATATCTTTAAAAATATTTGAAGCTTCAAATTTCTCTGTATCCCCTATTAAAACCTAAACTTGGTGGGTGACTTTGTCGAAATGTTTTACGTTATATTTTTTACCTTACATCTTCTTGACTCCTTAAAAGAGTGCAAAATGAATTAACTCACCCCCCTCTGAAGAAAGGCACTGTAGACTTAGAACCACAACCTCTACATATCATGACCAGAAACATGAGGCCTGATAGCATCGAAGAATAAGCTTTAGAGGAACGCTGTTGATAAAATTCAGGAGAATAACCGTTCAGTGGCCTTAAGACTCTTAGCGGAAATTCCCGTTTATTTATTCCCATTTATCAATTTATTTCCAATTTATTTATTCCCATTTATTTATTTAGACTATCATGAGTTTTGTGCCCAATATTGAAACGCACATACTTTTACCACCACAAATGACTTTTGCATTGTATCTTCATACGCGTAGTTTTCCACCAGACTATAACATGACAGACGGCTCTGAGATGAACTGGCGTTTGACAAAAGCCTGCCCAAAAGTATTTTGAGAACAGACCAGTGATTCCATCGATTTCAACATTTAATACAAGATTCCACACCTAAGCATTCTGGGTCCTGCCATACATCCAACTGGTGTAGACATTGACGATAGAATTGGAATTGTTGGCCTTCAAAACTTTGGTTCTGCAATACATTTGCGTATGTGTTGGACTTTGGCATAATTATCCTAATAAATTAGGTATCGTGGCGCAAAATGAACCTCAAAAAGCTATAAAAAGTATCAGCCTGGCTGTGTACGAAGAAGCCCAAACTAGTTCAAAGGACTGTTAATTTCAAATAATAAGGGGTTGAATGTCTGGAACAGGATAGTGAGTCCCATACAAGTAATGTGTAGAGATGGTTTAACCACCTGAGTCCCCCATTATGCTTCTCAAATCCCATTAGCGAGTTTCCACTGTTTTGAGACAATCAAGTGGGCACAGTTGCTGTTCCAGTTAGGCTTCTGAAAGCTAAAAAACAGTGATTCCTATACTCTTTTTTCTCACACGGAATACAAAAAATAGGCAAATTTTGGTTTTATATGTACTTTCTACTAGGAGGTCTGAAGGTCGAAAAATACCTACGGATAATGCTGGGGATCCGGCTTCCAGGAAGCAGAAGGACGGGAGACCGGCTCTCGCAGCTGATCGAGTGCAATATTCACTCACATGGACCTTTCAGTTCCCGTTCACCGACGATCTTGTTTATTTTGCTGCTTGCTATCCATACACGTATACCCAGTTAAAAGAATACCTTCACTCAATTGATTCGGACCCGTCCAAAAGGCGTTATTGTCACCAACGCGTCTTGTGTCAAACGCTGGCCGGTAATGATGTACCATTCCTAACAATTTCTGAACCAGGTATGCTGTATGGGAGTAGTTCACAGGTAAGTGTTGTTTTCTGTTGTTCAGATGTCGTTTTTTGGTAAGACTCGTCAAACAGCAAACTTAAAAAATCAACGGAGCTTAGAGGTATGGTGTATTGTCAAAATCAGTACTCATGAAATGAGATATCCTCGTCATGATGAATTTTTAAAATAGTGAGTGAGATTCTTCTTATTTATGCATCATTTTATCCTCGCCTTCTCTCTTCAATAGGACCTATTAGCGCAGCGCACTAGCCTCTATTTGATCGCCTGGACTCCAACTTTCTAATGTAACGTTCAGGACCATTCCACTGGCGCATGTTCTAAATTATCAGGTCGGAATTGATGATGACACTAGTGAAGCAAACTGATGGCTGTGTAAAAACGCTTGGATATTTCTAATTGAGATCTCATCTTTGAATTGAAGCTAATCATTGCTGAAAGACCTGAGAACACTGAACAGTCCTTTTATCCTTATTCGGAGTCATCTGAAAATTATCCCAGCCATGCGAAAGATGGTTGACTACTGGACTTTTCAACGTCGAGCTAGTGAACAGCAGTATAATTATCTGCTACCTAGAAAAGATATTTCACCGATCACCCTTCGGTCATGGAATTCACATCATGCGGTCACGTGTTGACTTCTCTGATGAGAGTTTCAGTTGATTTGTGGATTTTTTTGCTCTAAGCAACCTTTGAACTGATGGTAGCAAGAGAAGATTTCTTGATTTTCAACTGAAGCCCTATGGTACTGAAGCAAGTGAACGGCCTGAGAGGAAAAATAATTTCGAAAAATTAGTGAAGCTTTCATTTGAGGGGCTTTCACTTGAGCAACCAGTCAAAACGAGACCGTGTGATGTAGATCCCATGACTGAAGCATACGTGGTACCATGCTCTGCTTATGTGTGATTTAATTACACTGCTGACCAACCGCTCATGACCGAAGGTTGAGTGTTCACACTACTAGTCGGAGGTTGCAGTCTCAAGACTCCATGGACTTTTACGAGATACGCACTGCTGGTGATTCCCAATAAGGATGAAACAACTATAGACCGTTCGGCATAGACTGATTTTACTTTCAGGTCAAAATCTTAATTGGTATATAACGGACTAATAAGAATAATGTCCCAGCAAGTCAGAGTTTCCGATTTCGATTCGACGACTGCTGGTGAAAGCTGATGGCAGAAGAAATCTACGCTCATAGCTCCGTGCGCAATCGTCCTTAAGCGTTACATAAAAACTCTAATTTAACTATTTAATACAACAGGAGTAAATCAAAGCTTTAGCCTATGAAAGGAGTATTTGTGTTTACACTTTGAAGGACCTGTCAGCCGTATGTTTTGAATGAACATTTTTCTACCAGGTTTCTGAATAATTTTGAGGCGGAAGGTAAAAGAACGAAAAGTAGAACAAATTAACAAAATTTGCCGTGATTCTAGGAGGCTGTGAACAGATATATCTCGTGCTGACTCGTCCGGCACAAGTTGGAGGATTAAATTCCCAAACATTGCATCAAAAAATGAGGAATACTATCACTGGGAGCAGTTTTGAATAAGAAATTTCCTTTTTTGTTCAAGGAATCTAGGTCTTTTCTAAATTGACAGCGTGTTGAAATATTTCAACTGAAGTGCACTTATCAGTAGTCACTCAGGAAACTGCGGATCTGCTCACCGATCCTAGCAACTGACTTGAAAACATTTGATTACCACTTGAGGGGATATTATCATGACACAGTTGGTTAAGTGGTTACTATCATCGTGTTTGGTCTTATATGGATCCCTAAGATTAACTCTGACATCCGATCAACTTTTCATATATAATTGTACAGTTTGCTTATTCTGTCTGTGACCTGCCTGCATTGTGAGTTATCGTTCCTGAGTATGGTTGGTTCAATAGGTGTCATCACTTTCGTTCACTCCTTCCCTAATCTACGTTGTCTCTTTGCGTCTGTCCTCCTGAAGTTTGCTTGTATTCCACTCTAAGTTATCTAATTCAAACTTTTTTTTGCGCCACTTAGCTGATCTGTTCAAATTCTCTCTGCGTGCATCCCGTTTTTCAACCTGTTTGGTTATGTGAATTGTTTGTCCTTGTTCCCCTTGTTTGATGAGTTGTGCATTCTGACACAGTTAATTTGGCCTTTTTCTAGCTCTACTGATTTTTCTTTGATTCGTTGTACGGCCCAGGGTTTGATGGTTCCGGAGTTCTTTCGTTCTTGAAGCCTAGCAAGCCGGTTAAGTTTCAATTCACCTGTTTACTATCTTATCAGTGGGGTACCATAAATTTGCGTTTTTTCTTTGTTCCTTCTTGGCTTGGTAGGCTAACGTTTCTCTGGCCGAATCCATGTCCTTTCTAATCTTCATTTACAGGTTGATCGGTCGCGTCCCTTAGTAGCAATTTGTTGGGCTATAAATTAAACATTATTCACAAAGCATTAATCGTTAAACATGTTGGCAATGCTACGGGTTCTATGAGGAGAAGGAGAAAAACAATTATGGCGGAATTCATGTGTGGTAATGGTATTCTATTTGTTTAATTTAGATGCAGACACTCAAGCATGAACGAATAGCTTATGTTCACTAGTATTAAGCAGTCTCGCCCCACAGCTTATTTATCCGCTGTTTTCTCCGTATTCTTTGAGTATAACTACATGCATTACTACAAGCCGGTTTTATTAAATGCATAGCTATCCGGTTTTAGCACCTTGTGAGGCGTGCACCAGTCCCTGGCTTTCCCTTCTTAGATTAAAGAACGTCCGTCATGAATACGCAATAAACCCAGGTCTGCAGTCTAAAGCCAATAGTACTCACTCTGCCATGGCAAAAGCTCCATATATTCTCTATGAGTTCGTACACACAGTACTTTGGACAGTACGTACATGTGGTCTGGAAATGTTGTGGGTGAAACATCACAGACAAAATGTAAACGGAAAAAGATAAGTATACTTTACTACTGTTCGACCCTTCCCAGTAGCATTTGTAAGATATCTGTTAGTAAGGAGACACTGCTGATATTTACAGAAGCATGCACACTATAAGTAAATATTGTTTATTTTAAGTATTGAAACAGTCAGAAGTTTATAATCCAATGTTGCATACCTACCCTTTTTTATTGTGATATAATGATGCGGCGTGAGATGGAAGCCTTTATATATGAATCAACTTGGTACTACAGAAAAACCACCCTTTAATTGCCTTTATAAAGCGCACAACAGATATGGACAAAAAGGAACCAGACACAAGCAAGAAACGATGTGTGGTGATCACAGCCCGCGTGCATCCAGGAGAGACACAAGGCAGTTGGATGGTACAGGGTTTGATTGACTTCCTTGTTAGTGAGAACCCGGATGCTGAGGTAAGAACACTAAGCCGAGTAGCGTTTCTTTGCCTTCTGTTTTGCCTGTTTTTAAAACATCCTGATGAATAGGATCGTCCACTAATCAACTGCTGCCTTGAAGTGCTTGCGTTTATCACCGCTTCACTTCAATTGGGTTCGCTTCCGTGCTGGTTGGAAACATGTGGAAAAATCAATGAATCATTATCTGTAAGAATTCTCAACAAGTACTAATGTTGTGGCTAGTTTTGTTTTTCTCAAATGTCTTGACCATATTTCCTTCACTGGAAACAAAGATGACTTGGACGATGGCCGATTCAGGTGAATTTAACTGCTGGGTGAATTGAAGAATCTTCCAAAGAAAAAATTATCCGACCAGTATAACTTCCAAATGATGTAATTATCCTTTTGCTAGCACATGGTCGAAAGAACATTCTTCCGAAAGATCTAAGAACGTCGTACGACCAAGGTATAGGTACATTTATGCTTTTAAACAACAATCCAACACGAATGGTTAGAACTAATGGGTTGTTGGGTAACTATTTTACTAAATGATGTCACACAAACTCTTATTTGAGTTATGACCCAGAAACATCAAAATATATTGAAAATGGTTCCACAAAAGTAACAACATTGAACTGTTCAATGACATTTCCATTTTTATTTCAAGTTTGCCCGAGTGAACAATGTGCTCATAAATGAGAATATGACCCTCCTGTTCCAGAGGGCCACCACCTCAGTTTGAGATCAGAAAACGTTTTAAACTTTGTACGCGCAGAGTGTCAGTGTTTTCGGAGAAATCTTACTCCGACTGATGACAAAATTATTTTTTGGCCGGTTCAAGGCCATCTTGCTTATCTGAGAAAATTGAACCAATTCGTAACTTTATTCATAATCTTTATTCTACGGTGTACTCAGTAGAAATGCTTAGCAGTAAGTCGAATTTCAATAAGTAAGACATTCTTATCAGGAGGTAGGTGGGAGACAAGTCTAAAAAGTAAAACAGTAGACTACAACTTATACTTCTTCAGGAGCCGACATGCTCGGAATGTGGACGAACTGGGCGTCCGCGGATAATAATAACACATTACGTAGGAATATACAATCGCCTGTGACACTCATACTAAATCTATGGGTGTTTTGTACTTGGAGGAAATACCGCAGACTGTGTGTTCCATTTAATCAAGATAGAGATGGGTTCGGAGGATTTTTTGGGATGACTGAAACTTATCCAGAACAATGCAATAGTAGCTTGATACCACTGTAAAGACCACATTTTGATTTCTACAGCTATTCTAATAGGTTTTTAAGCAGTATCCTGGAGAGCGTTTGCTAATGGAACCTGTTGCCTTCTCACCTAACCCACTCCATTCAATGCACTGAGGACGGACCCACCGGAAAACTCCTGGATAATCATCCGCACAGGAGAAACAGAGCTTTATCATATACTGCTGTTACGTGTACTAACCTGGACCGTGGTGTAGCAATGTGGTGTTACAGCCATTCTTAAGTGTTGTGTGCTTTTGAGATAGATCTCTCTATGATAAGTATCAGGATACTAATACCACAACACCCATTTCGGAACGGGTGTATGCACTTTGTGAAACATTTATTCTCACTAATCCACTTCAAAGTGAATAGGCACTCATCCAGAGGTTTGCTACCTTCAGAGCTCATCAGCAGTACGTCTCCTTGACCATCCTTGAAGGTAAACTCCGGGAACTTGACGGGTAATTCGAGTGTGCCTTCTGTTATCTTACCCACGCACAGTAAACGTGCCCTTAACAAGTTTGAGCAGAACTTGATAACACCTTAGGCAATGTTACAGTTATGTCCAATCTCGTAAAGACCCTGTATTTGTCCTGTTTGCGCCAACTGGTAACCAACCGGGTGAAGCGAAACATTTGCTCCAGGGCAGAGGATAACTGCCGAAAACACACACACACACATACGTAAATCAAACAAACTGTCCGACATAGTTCAAAGGTCCGTGGTGCTACCATAGAAATTTGACAATACCGGAGCCGAGTTTTGCCTGGAACTTCTCAATCCATGATGCTAATTGGAAGGAAGGCACTGAATGGCGGCAAACCGGTCAGCATAACCAGGGACGTTACCGGGTAGCCGTTCGAAGCCAAGGGCAAACCAAACGCATCGCGAAATTGGCGTGCTTGTAGACCTGTTCAGAAGTGACGGTGAACATGTGTCCAAGTTATACTGGTTAGGTAGTGGTAACACACTTACTTAGTATATAATAAGTCCCAATTCCAAAGCCTGGCAAGGCCAAGGCTTTATAGACAAGACAGACTTTAACAAGAGCTCAATCTACGTTCAGTGCTTCCCGGATTTTGTTCCATGATAAAAGAAGTATTGTTAAAACGAGACTGGTATGGCGGAACTTGTTCAATTAGGCGGCCAGTAACATCATGACAAATTCTATGTTGTCGTGTAAATCTAATTACATGACAAGCTTTTGTGTTATCATAGCCATCAGGAAAAATAGATGATGTAACCGTTAGATGGCTATTCGGAAGGAGAATGCAAGCCCACAAAACACGCGAAAAATCGATTAACTTCAGAGAGCCCTTATCCTGCACCGGAAGTAGATTTGAGCCAATCATGAGCAAAATATCATTCTGTTAGTCTCAAATCGAAATGGGCCAGGCTCAATCTACAGAGAAGGCTTTATTCTACAAAACTCCGTATACGGGTTGATTTCACTGCAGATATTGAGGGCTGGGCATAATCCCGGAAACGAAAAAGGATAGGCTCGTTAATTTTGATTGAAGACTCCAGATAACCTATTTCGTAAAGTGCATTATTATTTGTGTAATAATACCTGGGCCACCATTTCCCTTTTGGAAAAGCTCCTACGTTCCAACTTTGTCTTCAAGATAATTCCAATGTTAAATCCTGATGGAGTGATTGTCGGGAACTACCGTTGTTCTCTGTCTGGATGTGACCTGAACCGCAAGTATCACTCCGATTTGAAGCGGTTTTTTCCAACAGTATGGCACGCCAAAGAAATGGTGATGAAGTGAGTAGAAACAGACTTCCTTTTCCATCCTTTTTTGGTGGATTATATGAGGGAGCCATCGTGCGAACTCATCATAATGTACAGAGGAAATGCCGTTAAAAAATAACACAGTGACTCAACATTCGCTCTGAGTACTATACAAAATGTGTCACAAAACAGAATCTGAAAGAAGCCATACATACCTCAGGATGAATTACTAAAGGGCTTAATAAATGATGTGTATAAATTTACGTTAACATTCAGATTAACGTTTGGAACTTTGAAACCGCCTTATGGTTGTGTTGTTGAAAGAGAGCTTGTCTCATGGGGTAACTAGGCATCTTTCGGCTGTCAGAATAAGACTTAGACGTAAAATATTCGAATGTGAACGAATATTGCATTGAATTTGGTGTAAATACAAGATTGAACTTAAAATTCGGATACGAAACTGAAGTTTTCGCACAAAATTGGCCTTTTTCAACAAACCTCTGTGTCCACATTATTCTCCTTTGCAATGCCTCCTTTCTGTCCTAAACCACAGAAAGAAAGCACTAAAGTCGAGCTTAGTTCCGATCAACCTTTATCGTCGGTGTTTATCTTTGGCCGTGTCGGTTTTTGACCCTTGAACATATGCACTGCTGAAGAGCCTAAGTGAAAGCGAAACACAACTCTGGTCTCAACTGCTTTGGTCCAGACTGACTAAACTAATTGTACCATGGCGGATGGAGAACTGTTCCGCAACTAACTACAAGTATGAAGTTTTTTCGTATGTAGCATGGATGTTTTGCTGCTATCTGTATGCGTGAGTGAGTAGTTGAGTGCGTGAGCGCTTTGTTCATCTGCAACAAAATATACGAACATTCCGAATTTTCTGTTACCTGCCTACGGCTACCGAAAAATTCTCTGATGGAACTGCTTGCACAGCAAGCAAAACATAAGTCTTCGCACCGTGGTCGTCATAAAGGTTCTACAATTAATTGATATACAAAGACTTGGGGATAATGATAAACATAAGACCAGAAACCAATGGAAAATTGACCGAAATAAGTACCGGGAAATCCCAGGCAACATATGAATGAAGGAACAGTCCGGCACTTTGCGGCATTAGACGTTAGTATCGTCGTCGGTTTTTTGTTCATCGAATGCTTCACATGATCTTCTGGGAGTGAACTTGCACCTACCTGACAGAAGGGGTGCAGAGTACTCCCCATTTATTGGACGCTCATTTGAGGCAGAAAGCATTTAGCGCACAAAACCCATACACCTCTGGCATCTGCACTTATCTTTCAGGTTTGAGGCAGTGTTGCGAACCCGAATGTCTGTCAGTATTCGCGGTCTTTGTCCAAATTAGGCACTCTCAACTCAAAAACAGAGTATGACGGATAGCAATATATTTGGACTACTAAAATTATCTGATGTAGCGCTACCGAAACGAGAGGCGGTGCCTAACAGATGAAACGGCTGATGCAACCAAAACAGTTACTGCGCCAGCGTTCAACGCACCAGGTAGACAAACCACATCGCTCAATAGTGAACATACCTTCCTGTTGCGACATGATGATTGAGGAACAGCTAGCATGCCTTGAGGATGTGGCAGTACCATAATTTTGTCAAAGGTTAGGTGTTTGAAACTCAGCTCTCAACATGACCAAGTCTATCTACTACTGGTGAGCTTGAATGAGGACAAAGCTCGAGTCCTGCGCTTGCCCTATTTGGTGTGAACCAACCAGCTACAAGAGAGAGGAAACTGATGAAAGGGAGTGAGGTGGATACAAATGCAAAAATAACAACCACGTACAACCAAATATTTCGTACATCACTTAATAAGTTTTTATGATGGTTGATTTTGCCATATTTGCAGCAGTATTGGACTAATATGACTCAAAGAGGCTTTCTGCGACTAGTTTTCGTGTCACGGTTTCAGGGAGAAAATAAGAGAGCCCCATGTATGATGTCTCAACGTCTCAGCCACAAACGCTGTTACTGCGAGGTACATTGGAAAATTAAACAAGCTTAAGCCCAAGTCAATAACGCTATGAAATTTTGGTGACGTCAACAAAAACAAACTGAGGTTTAGTGGTTGTCTTTCCTCAGATGCAAATTGTGGCTACTGAGGCGGAAATGCAGTGATTTCGGATGACGTTTTGTCGATATCAGAAAACAAATTGAGTAGATATATCCTACAACAAGGTACGCAGAATGACGAGGCATTTTGTTGGCTCTTGGATGGACATTCACGTACCCCATATATGAGCTGTACGGCTAAGAACCTGACGCTAGGGAAATGTTTGCCAGTTTTTCTTGTCAACGTGAACTGGTCACAAAGACTTGTTAGTTCAATGAGATACCATACCGCCATGGTTTGAAAGAGAACACATGGAAGAAAGTTGGTTTATCTGCCTACTTATTGTCAGGAGCCTTGTTAAGCCTACAGTCATGGGTATATCCTATCAATTGTTTTGCGTGCTTAGAATGTTTGTTGATAACTGAGTGTAACACAGCACAATTCTGTCTTACAGCACAATGCAAGACTATGCCGTTTTGGTCTACTGCGATTTTCACGGACACAGTCGAAAGCAACAAATGTTTATTTATGGGTGTCGGAGTTTGAATCCGGAAACGCGCTTTCATGACCGGGTTTTTCCGGCAATGCTGAGCAAAAATGCACCAAATCTGGTAAGCAGCGATGGCATGAGCGATTTTTTAAAATGATTTTATTTTGCTAAAATAATTCAATTTGTCATACTGTCCAGAGCACTAGATAAAGTTCCATAGTTTTGGTTCCCGTAATACTGAGTGTTGTTGCTGAGGCAACCTCAGACACAAGTATCGGTAGTTCCTCTATGGTAAGTATAATTACCATAGCAACTGTATTGTAATTTGGGCGCAACAAGATTGATTGTTTGGTGCGTTCCGACGTTCTCTGGTGTCTGAAGACTGATGACCAGAAGGCAGAAGACAATGACGTTTCTGGAGACAACCGGTGATTGTGACGCAAGCGCAACTACCATGAAGTGGATGAACAGTTACCACGTTTGTTAGTTTGTTTTTGTTCCAATTCAACGATACTTTTCATTGACCTGGCCTATTGTTACGTTGCTAAGATTAAAAATTTCATCTGTGCTCAGCGTTAGATGTGAGTGATCCTGATCCGAACTCTTGACCGTTGTATCTTTATTTCGAGCCTTTGTTACGGGATCAGTTTATTGTTTCGGCTGCCTGAATTGGGTAGAGAGTTAGTCACTTCCACAGTGCACATGCTTTGCAGATGGGGCTAAACGTATGTGGGTCCGAGCTGGATTTGGTTAGCTCAATGGTTTTCTGATACTTTAAGAAGTGATCTGGAAATCATCATCCTGCGAACTTGTTAATTCTCCCGGAAGTCCACAAGCCGTGTTGATTTCATTTACTATGAGAAGTACAGTGAATCGTTCACTAGTAGATTTGCTCCGGTAACCAGGCACTGATATCTTTTATACCAGTTCTATGAAACTTAATTAATACATCGACTGTGAGTTTCACTTTTTCGTGCTTATATTTGATCACCCAGTAGAGAGAAAGAGGAATCACTCCGAGGAATTTCTTCTTTTGACTGAGATAGTCTCTTTAGACCTGTGTCATTCGGTTGGTTGGACCACCTGGTCCGTTCCTCAAACATAGATAACAGCCGTATGCTTACATACTATCTATGATCTACTGTCATATACCCGATAGGTGAAAAATTTTCGTGAGTTCTCGAAGAGCAGGTGTGCACTCTGTCAAACAGGCGCCCCACTGCACTATCGAAATTCGATAGCCAACAGAAACAAGCGGGCTATTTTGCTTAATAGTCGGTGATAGCGGTTAGCACTTTGACCTTTCTCTGTGATCTGACTACGAAGGACAACTGAAACTTCCAATTTAGACGCCATAAATATAGACACGTTAGGCAACTCTCTGGTCTTCTTGAAACCAATTAGCAAAGGTTTCTATCCCATGTGGGAGAGTGAAGTAGACGGGGTAGTGAATAAACCTTCTTTCTTGTTTCATACATGAATCAGCAAAGTAGCTCATCTGCTTATGAGCATCTTAAGTACACGTGAGCCTCTTTTTTGACTTCCACAACAGGCTGGGCTTTGCTCTTGTTCTGACACGCAAAGAGAATTCGTATGATTGTTTAGAAATGGACAGTTCAGTTGTTGGAACATTCATCCAGTAGGTCAGAATATGCCAGTATATCGAAATATTGGTAGCTCAGGTGCGTGTACAGGTGGTTGGTTAGATCAACAGCAATCCTATCAACCAACAACAGGGTGGAGTTTGGCGATTTGAGTCAGCCCTCTTTTCTGTCATGCTAGCTATACTTGTGCTTCTCATTTCAACATCTTTCTAACTCCACCACACTTTTTCATAACGAATACTTTTGTAATAAATTCTAGTTCACTTATAAACAGTCGATGATCTGAGCCTATTCACTGTTTCGGTGGGACATCAGACAAGTCCTAAAAGGGTTAAACTATCAAACTGCATACATATATTTGCATATATTAACAATATATACTTAACTGTATCGTTTCATCTTCTTTCCTTTTCTTACGGACATCTAAAAACTAAGTTACACACCGAATTTCTGCTCCATGATAAAGCTGATGTTTATAAAAGTGTGGATAAAAACATCCAGTAGATCGTTTAATTTAGTGTTGCTCTATGCAGTAAAGTAACTTCATTTGAAAGCAAGTCGTTGAATGCCTCGCTAAATTTTATTTACCCATCAATATGGTTGCAAGAATAGGTCTTAGGGAGATCTCACCTCCATTTTCTCTCATCTCTTGGAACGATTTACCTTTGAATGTTAACTGGATATCTTTGTGAGTACAAGAACTCTGAGACAATTCGTTCAACAAAATTACAAAAATAGTCTGCCGTCTCCTACAGTGGCATCTTCTTGAAAAAGGTTGAACATCGAGAGGGAAGTTTCCCGATTAGGTAAATGAAATTTACCAGCAAGTTACGTCAGTCAATGGATTTCATAATGGAACTCTCTCTTTGCTGCAGTTCATACAATTCGAATGTCACTGAGTATCCGTAATCAGTTTCAACTTTCTTGATTTCAGTTTGATTACAGTAAGTGTAGATTTACTGTACAAAAAGAGAAAGAGGGCACTGGAAGAGTTGTGATGTGGAGGACAGGGATTTTAAACAGCTATACGCTAGAGGTGAGTGGTTTATAACTAATGCTCAGTTCTCTTTGCCTATGATCCTATACTAGAATATGTGAGTGCCACCTCGATTACATTTATGAGGATTTCCCAAAATAGTTACTGACGAATGGCCGCTACCACGTTTGTGAGCTTTGCTGATTTTCTCTGAGGATCGATAGGCGTCGTCTTTTGAGATTTCTCGTGAATGGAGTATAGGGGGCAACTAAATTACCGCTATTTGGGCAGTTCTCATATCATTATGTGACAAGTCTGAATCACGAACGGGGTTTCCTGTCACGACTTGTATGCTAACGGGGTGGGGTTATGTTTTTGCATTGCACTTTATATTACCAGAGTCTGAGTCCCGTTACGGAAATGGGTATCCCTATTTGATGTGTTTTACTAGGAAGACTATACGGTTCCAGGGTTTCTTCCTTGATAACGACAAACCAGTATGGTTGTCTGGGCCGATTGGATATACATTCGGACTACTTCGTAAAACTTCTCATAATAAATTGTGTATTCATTTCATGAAAAGGTCAAAACTATTCGGTCATCCTACTTATTAGACAACTACACCAAAAAGTACCCTAAGAAGAATTCAAAATATGGCTATGAGTTGATTAAATGGACTTTGTTGTCTGCACTGCAGCATAGCATTGTATATAGGTGTCAAACTTTTCCAAACGGGAGATCGACAGCCACTCAGAAGGCCCCAAGGAGTGATTCGAAACCGAGTCGCACTGAAGACAACCCACTACTCTTATCCGTCAGACCATCCAGGTTGACTAGCGTGACGACTACTGAACAAGCTGCACGCTCGATTGATAGAATGTGTAGTGTTAACGAAGGTATTTGGGAGAAATAACTCACTCCCGATAGATGAACTGATCACACTGCACAGGTTGCGCTGGCTTGGCCACGTGCTGCGTATGCCAGTCGACCGACTTCCTCGAAGGGCTCTTTTCGCACAACCAGAGCCAGAGGCGGTCAAACAATGACTTGGCAGCGAAGTATGAAGGCCATTACCAGCAAACTCAGCTGCGCTGGTCACTGCCGTCTTCCTGGATGGGGACCCCGAGACGGGCCACGTCAATGGCTAGAGACATTATCAGACATTGCCCAGTCACGCCCTCAGTGGCGCTCGTGCATCCAAGCTATTGCCTTCAATGCATAGCTTCTTTTCCCCTCCCCCCCCCGCTTGACAACTCACTGACAGTGCTGGATTNAGTGCTGGACTTATGCACCAACTTACCAGCTCGCGCCTGCAACGCGCAGCTACCTACCCCCTACCCCAGATCATCGGTGAACGAAATTGCGGCAGCTGCAACCAATGTACGACGAGTACGCGGTTATTACAGCTGACAATGATGATGATGATGTTAACGAAGGTACTAACATGCTTTTGCCGGGCCTCTGAAGGACGCAAGTAGTCGGATAACTTCCACATTATGTACAATTTACATTCAGGATCCAATCCCATCATTCCTTACAATTAGGAAATATCTCAACTTTATCACTGATAGCCAAACAGATGGGATATCACTAAAGAGCCGTAATGTTCTGAAGATGCCATTGCCTAGTATATGGTAAATCGTAACCACGTCACAATAAGTAAACGAAGACGAAAAATTATGGTTCATTTGAAAGTGATTAACGCTACTTACTGCTCAAACTACAAACGATGAATCGGAAATGTATTTAATACCTGTGTTCTATGTGCTTTTCAAGCTATCCATGAAGCAAACAGTTTTATGTTGTATCCGAAGTGTAACAACTTAAAGTTGGACCGACATTCACACCTCTCTGATAAAAGAGGCAACGCTGTCCGTTAAACAGACATTTGCCTATCTCGGGATTAACTGGTGGAGTGAAGAAGATGTATTCATTAGAGTTCTTTCATCAATCTTCCCAGCATAATAATAGCTCCCGGTTCTCCAACACAGACAATTCTGACCCAAGACAAATTTCCTTCTCGTGATTTCGCGTTGTAGGTGACATTACGGAACGTCAATGGTGGCTTAAATATTTGCCAGTAAGGAACACCGATGCCGTTGGAATTAGAAAGTATTTATAGAAACACTTCTTGCCACGGTCAGGAAATTCAGTGGAATTTGCGAAACCAACAAGCTATTTCGAAATTTGACCGGGAGATCCTTGCTTTCACTTTCAGACCTCTCGAGGCCTTATTAGCGGTTTAGGGGTCATTTGAAAAACGTTCCAGATGTGAGTTAAGCGTATAGAGGAAGCATTTTCATTATCCATCGATGCATGAACAAGGAGGTTTTGGGGAATAGAAAACGCCTCAGGTGCCCTGACGGCCAAATCAGCGGGACACTCAATGGATGCGTTGCACAGATGCACACGTACTCACACGTACACATACGGAAGTACACACATCTTCCGTCCAACGTTCGACTAATGAATAACTTTAATCATTGCTTTCAATTTTGCTAGTGTGTTGCAGCTTCATCACTACACTTGTCATTCCAGTGTGATAAGATATCTGATGAAGACAGAGTAGACGATTGAGAAACACCTTGAACCCAACATCATAGCAAAATCCGTGTGACTTGAGTTGGTCAGTCAGTCTTCGTCGGGCTATATACACAAATCTGGATGACAATTTGGCCACTTCCAGCTTGGCAGCAGCAAGTCGGAAAGGATACAGCGTGTTTTTTCTGACTGAGTATTTCGGTTTCAAATTGATGAATACGGAATCAGCTCTAGAGACGATTGAAAACTCCGCGGTTTGAGCAGTGTCTGTCTTCGTACTTACTTTGGATGTCGTAGCAGCCAGGCTTCATGTGGTACTGCTGAAAGATTAATGTTTTTTTATATTACTGATATGGAAGAGGATGTTAACAACTGGTTTGGAGTCGGAAAGCATGTCGATTGGTTTTCATCTGACTAAAGATTATACAAGGGAAAATAAGGGCTGACACACAAAATGCCCCTTGTGACCCCAATACACGTATCACTGGTTCCCAGAGAAAACTTGAGTATGAGTACAATGCGGGGTGCCTTGTTTTACGCCTGCGAGTCTTGGCCACTTCTGACAGGTAATTTGAGATATCTCCAGGTTCATGACCACTGAAGACTCAACCAACGAATTATGGAAGTAGTTGTCAGGAGACAACTTTTGGCGAAGCAGAGGATGCTTCACTGAAAGAATGAATCCAGCACTGAGTTAGGTGTCCCGCATACCTGTCAAATTACCGCTTGCAGAGACGCTTTCCCTGCCTGATTCCGAGTTACGAAAACCGGGGGCTTGAAAGAATTTGACATGGCAGGAGAGAATGAAGAAGGTTACGAATAATTTCGGTACCGTTTTCCTTCCAGGATTAAATCCACATGACGCTCTGTGCTTGGCTGGAAACATTGAACGATGCGGGGGCTAATCAATATCAGTGGTGCTCATGGTGGAAGTTTCTATCCAGATTATCTGACTGAGAGTTGGAAAAAGAGGCATCTCTAATCAATACAGTGGTGCTCATGGGGGAAAGTTCTATCCAGATTATCTGACTGAGAGTTGGAAAAAGAGGCATCTCAGAATTTTTTAAGGCTGGGCCTAGGTCTCCTCCCTACAACACTTATCTTTTCTTTCCAGTGTAATGCATTTTTCGAATGAATTGACACTATTCTACGGGAACGAAGCATCAATGTTCCCGCCTTGACAATGATTTCGAAACACTATCGTGGCATTATTCGGTTATCAATTATTACATTCAGATGGACAAACTTCAATCCCGGTCACAAACTATTCTACTTTGTTGATCCACATTGATTTCACGATTCTGACCGTAATGTTTGCAGGCAACGTTTTGTGGCAAAACTGGAGAAGTGAAAGAGGACAACTATCACTTTAACACGCGGGACTTCGAGGAGATGGGCCGTCAGTTTTGTGATACATTGTTGGACTATTGTGATCCAGATCAAAAGAAGGTAAGTTATTCGGACTACTGGAGAAGATGCTGGTGAGCTTTGTCGGTGCTATCCGTTCATCTAAAGCGCTTGATTTTACAACCGCTCAAATGATTTTGTATATTAGCCGTTTTAACGACCTCTTCCGGTGATCCTTCGGGCAGACCTACTGGCAACAGTTGCAAAATATTTTCGCTAAACTCATGTTTGTTCCTTTGGAAAGAAAATCAGTATGAGCGAAGAGAAAGTAAATTAAAAGGTGAATTATACAACTGGATGGAAAATATTACGGAAAAAATAGGTTGATGAGAGTCTGTCAGTAATAACTCGGCACTTCAGCGAGGTGAGATACATTTGGAGTAGAAAAGTGAATTCAACTTTCCAAAAACTGGAGGAAGTAATCTACTAACCATTAATCAGTAGCACTGTGAATGTTAAAAATTTTATTTGTGAGGTCCCGCCATAGTGGGGTTTCGCACCAAAAGAGGTTTTCGGCTAACGCTTGAAAATCACTGAAGCCAACCCAAATATCCCATTGTACGAAATTATAAAGCTTTATCCAGCTTCTGTAGAGTTGGTACCACTTCGCATAGGAACAAGCAGACGCGGGGAGCAGTCAACAGAGGGGACCTTTTATTATAACTTACTATGCTCCAACAGATGACATACCGTTTTCTCAAGAACGGGCATCCGACTGATCTCACTTCTATCTCGAGTAATCTACAAACTGGACAAATGTACTATTATGCATGGAACTAAAAAAACTGAGATTTGTAGGCGACAACGAGTTAAATGTGTCACGATCAACTTGTTCCCAAAAACTGTGATAAGACATGGGGGCCGTTTTGAAAAGTTAGAGTTTTGTGGTCAAATTTGTATGATATGGTTAGGTAGTTTATGGTAAATCGATTCGCAGGTATACCCTCCCAGCAGAATGGCATGATATACTGGATAGTTCACAGATACATATAAGTTGCTTTATAATAAGTTAATACCAGTCGTGCTGAGTGAATGTTATGCCACAGAAGTTATCACAAACCCCTTTGGAAGTTATTTGTCTTCCATCAAGATTTCCTGCTACGGCTAACGTCAACTTAGGATGGAAAGCCTGAAGTACTGTAGAGTTGTTTTATCCTCGTCACCACCCACCAGTAAAGCACATTTCACAAACGGAAGAGATGATTCCAACTAGAACTTTTTGTCGTTTGGCCGCGAGTGAATGATCAGTGGTGCGGTCAACTTAAAATAAAAAAGGAAATGATGCCCATCGTCCGCTGATCACTTTGAGGACTACAAAAATGGCCGTTTTTTCAATTAAAAATTCCAGTGGAAAGGCAAATATGATTATCGTGGTATTCATTAAAGCACCTAACTTTTTGTGCTATTTTTATTTCACAGTCTGTCCATCATATGCAATGTATTGATAACCTGGTATGGTTGTAAAACGCCCCCACAAATCACATGGATTCATCTTTAATAAGCCGACCATTGAAAGCGTGTGTGATGACGTATTACGCAAAGTGGACCTCTTGAATAAAGGAGTAGTGGCGTTATTTGTCTCTCCAGTTCAGGTTAATCATGCTAATTAGATCACTTTTTACTTATTACTCATGCCTGTATCGGGTGTATCGCTGATAGTAATTCCCCAAAAGCTTCGTTGACAGTGTAAATTTGTTGGATGCGAACAAAGACGAAGCAGCTGTACAACACTGATTCTCAATGTTTCTGTTTAAATTAGCTTCACTGATCACTTTGAGACTACAAAAATGGCCGTTTTTTCAATTAAAAATTCCAGTGGAAAGGCAAATATGATTATCGTGGTATTCATTAAAGCACCTAACTTTTTGTGCTATTTTTATTTCACAGTCTGTCCATCATATGCAATGTATTGATAACCTGGTATGGTTGTAAAACGCCCCCACAAATCACATGGATTCATCTTTAATAAGCCGACCATTGAAAGCGTGTGTGATGACGTATTACGCAAAGTGGACCTCTTGAATAAAGGAGTAGTGGCGTTATTTGTCTCTCCAGTTCAGGTTAATCATGCTAATTAGATCACTTTTTACTTATTACTCATGCCTGTATCAGGTGTATCGCTGATAGTAATTCCCCAAAAGCTTCGTTGACAGTGTAAATTTGTTGGATGCGAACAAAGACGAAGCAGCTGTACAACACTGATTCTCAATGTTTCTGTTTAAATTAGCTTCACTGGTAGGACGTACACTTGAATTGATAGTTCAGAACCTCCCACTGCCTCGAATTATGGATTTTTGTCTACCAAATTTGGATAGACGTCCCTCAGATGTTAGGACACAGAGTTGACCAACTTTGTGTATTATTCTTGTAAAACCTGATACTTTCTTCACTTGCGAACGACTTTCAACTTATTGAGAATAAATTTACATAAATGCTTAGTCCCGTAAAACTGTCGGAGTTAGTTTCATTGTACATGCTGTACCATTTTTGTGCTCCCAGCGAAAACTGTTATTATGCTTAGTCTTGGTACCTTGAAATTGAAACTCACGGCTCGTGAGGTGTTATATATTTCTAAAGATCAAAAATTAACCACCTACACCGAGCAGAATAAACAAGCTGATTTTCTGTTTGCGGTTCAAACTCAGAACATCACCTTGCTGTTTTCACCATCGTCTTCCACAGTTCTAATGGTCTTACAGTTAGTGTTGCTGCTGAGTCTGTGTTTGCAATTTCTAACCAACTCACTTCCATCGTTTTCTAGTGCAACTATATACTGACAGAGTTGAAAAGCGATGCACTGGCAAAAAGACTGGCTCGTTATTCCGGTGAACTCGGAGAGGTCAATGAGTCAGATTTGGGATGCTCCACTGATGATAGTAGGTGAGATTCACTATTTGTGATGCGGATAACAAGTGTTGCTCCCATTCTGTGTTGTGCTGTGCATTAGATGGTGATGACCGTGAAAATTTGTCAGAAACTACAGATGCAGGAAACAGGTTGCTTCACTTGTAAAAAAACGCCAGCGAATCTCATTGTTCTGCTTTACAAGCACAATTTTCAACAGAGGTTTTCATAAGGAGCAAGAATTTTGTAAGTAAATTCATAGCGATGCTAACGCGCAACAACACATTCCGGGCAGACAATGCACAGGGGAGCGTTTTGCCTGGCTGTTGAATATCAGAACTTGGTCGTCTACACAGTAACTTAAAGAGTTAGGATTTTTAACTTGCTATCAAGCGAAATTTGCCCTGCGTTACGTTTTGCAGTATCTGGTTGTTAAGTCCCAGTTAAAGTATGTACTCTAAAGGTAAGAAAACCACGTGGCATCTAAATGTCTCCCCGAAATATCATTTTTTTCTTGGACAGGACCATCAACATAAAGTGCGTCCTTGACTTCACGGATTTACATAAAAGGAGTAATCTCCTCGTAGATTGTTTACCGCATCTATTGGAATTTCTTTGATGGTGGTGTGATAATACAACTCTGGGTAGTTAACGAAAGTGTACAAAGTGAATTATTGTCAGTGAATATGCAGATGTCTTAATTGGGGTACTATCCCCCCGAGACTTTGTTCGCTTGCTCTCGCTGAAATACTGACTATTCTGACTACTTACCTAACTGTCTAACTCTCCTGTGTTTTTTTCCAGCGATACAGGATCCGACAGTTCCAACTGTGATGATGTGCCCGCCTATTATGCCTATGTTCTGCAAAATGTGAGTCTATGTGTTACTCAGCAGGCTCAACTAATGATGTACATGTGGTAGGAATTCACAGTAAAATGATTCAGTGTCTGTCGGTACGTGCAATGTCCCCCGGGAGAGCACATGAGGATACGCTAAAAAGGCATTCGCTGTGGGACTAGAACAAAACATTGGACAAGCACCATAAACAAGAGATTCAAGTGAATTTAGTTGAGTCTCCCGTTGAAACCGAAACAGTGCTAACTAAGACGGTTTTGGGGAAACAACTAGATAGTTTCCAATCGTTAGGAAATGAGTTCATTCACCAGCTAGCGGACGGTCAGGTCTCCGTAGTTTTGAGGACATTAAACTTACAGATAAATGTATTGAGTCCAGAGGTTCACCCATGTATACTGTGTCCTTATCATGTGTAAGAGAAAACGTTCCCCAAAACGTTAACCAGTAGGGCGTGAACGGTCATTGTACCCGCACAAAGATAGTCCTTTCTAAAGCAGTTGTTTCCAGATGAGATTTCACCCACTGCTTATTGAGACGGCTCTATACTGTATCGTTGTACCTTGGCGTGTGGAGTCATGACATGAATATGAGTGGTTGTCTTCCACTGCCTGATCCATGCATGCAGTGATGACAAGTGCTGTTAGATTTGTGAAAGTCTTATCAAAAGTTGTACATAAGCTCTCCTCTCCTTCTTCCAGACATTTAAACTCTTATGGTAATATTTTTGCTTTGAACCATCTACAAAAGAATTGTTGCCATATTTTACGGGCGCTCATGGTGCTATGCAAAAACGAGCTCCTTTTCAAATTTCTTTATGGAATTAGTTAGCCAGCTAGTTGTTGAAAGCATCATTGAAAGCTGGCGCAAAAGCATGGCAATTGAACGGTGTTCAAAGCTCTCTTGAGTCCATGTGTTGTATACAAGGTAGGAAGCCTAAAATCCCTCAAGGTCGCTCCTTATGGAAAGGCGATACAAGCCATTTTGGAAGGGAAAAGTGTAGCTCCTCAAGAAACGGCGCACTTTTGACTGATTCAAGTCAACTTTATTTTGACAACCAGAAGCAACCAGAAAGTGCGTAGTGTATTCTATGTTTCTTGATTAACCAGTTATGATAAAATGTCATCTGTGGATATTAATTATTTATTAATAGAAGTACTTATCAGTAACATAGTTGTTGCTTCGCATTTTTAAAGATTAAGATGACTGAAGAAGCCAGATGAGCCCACTATTTATATCATCCTTATTTGTAAATGATTGTTTAACGGCTTTACCTTTTCATTTGAGTGACGTGTAGTAATTATCTTGCATAAAGCCGTAAATGAACGCTCGCAATCAATGTCAGCTCTACAGAGGCCTGTTTCCACAGCTAGATTCTAGATGCTACTTCCAAGCTGTTTTGCTTGATAATTATCATGTCTTGCAAACTAACATATTATCGGTGCAGGCGTATTGCATTTTTCGTTTTTTCAATCTGGTTAACAATATTATATGAAAGCAACTGCATTTGGCTTGGGGCACATCGCTGAAAACGAGCTTTGAGATTTATCGATACATAGTCAGCCAAAGCACTAATGATATGAGTTTGTATCACTTCAAAAGAATAAGCAGATATGCTAAGTTGGTATGCGTAAGTCACTGTCCAACAATTTGAACTTTGCAGGTTTTATTTCCAACTAAAGCATCAGCGTGTGTTTGCGTGTGACTTCGTACAGTGCCATCTCAATCTTCTCTCGATTTATTACTTCTGTCAGTCACCGAAGAGACCAGCCCGCCGAAAACCACGCAAGAAACGGAAAGAAGCCCCCCAGAACGCAGTAAGTCTGGACTTGATTTCTTACGTTTGATGTGGCCTTAATTAGCACAATCTCAGTGCAGTAGCTCCACAGCTTACCTTGAACTGACTCGTATGTTCCACTCCGTTTCACCGCGTCAGGACTTTGCGGCCCCTATTTTATTTGCCTGCAGCGTGCAACACACCCAAACAAATGTGATTAAATCATACGCTATCCACTAATGGTATCACTACGTCAACAGCTCATGCAACCACATGGCGTATAGATGTGCAGTTGGTCTAGCGATCAGAAACAAAATTATATCCTAACAGTCAGTCAGACAACGTTCCATCAGCTGATCGACATTCGGCTTGTTAACAATAACAGTTTTCTCTAGAATTTTCGTAAGGTTACAAGAGTGACCTTATTTACAATGTATCGGGGCCACTTGGCTGGGAGCCTTTGAAGGTGCTATCAGACGGGAGTGGTAGCAACTGTTTAGTCCTTCGATATGCCGCGCCTAGATCGGTTCTGTATTCGAAGTTTTGGACTACATTTCTCAACTTAAGGTCAAGACTAGACGGTGAGTTTTATGTACACATGAAAAGAGTCTGGAAGTTGTATATTTGTGTATACAGTTGCTTTGGAGAAGCGTTCATTCATGAGTCGACTTTGAAACGAAATGAGGACGTGGTACTCAGTCTATCTTGGCATCACATTTTAACACTTCCGTTTGTGTTTCTGTGGAATATGTCCTGAGAGACGTCAGGCGTACAATTTGTGCTTAATAGTGACATGAATTTCCATAGGCAATAGAGCCTGACCGGCTGATTGTCGTAGCCTGTTTTATTCGGCACTGTGCCACTGCTGCTTTGACTAAGAGCCACGTTGACTGCTAGTGCGATTAAAATTCCGCAGCAAGCATAGGGACAGACCTCAGGTGTGGAAGTCCAGTATTACTGAATGCAGAGCAATTATGATCATCCAGACCACAAGAAAATCGATACTTGCGTGAGAGAGCAAAGATGACACCACGTGGGATAAATACAATTTCTAAAACAGTCATGTCATGTTATACAAACAAAAGAAGAAAACGCCACTGGGAGCGCTGCTAAATGAGCTGAAATGATCAGCATTGTTTGCCAGATCGGGGAACCATACAGCAACCAAAATTTTCATTCCAGCGAATAAAAGTCACCCTTGCAAACCCAGCCGCCAGTAGTCAGTTCATCAAAGCCAATCTACCTTCATAAAACCTGTCCGTTTCTGCTTTGACCGTCAGAACTCCTCGGTATGTTTGATTAGGTGTTTTAATTTGCGATGTTTGCAATGATTTTTGTAGGTTTTTACCTCTGCGGTGTTGGTCCTCTCTGGTAAGGGCTCTGGCAGGACTATTTAGAACGTTCACTATTTCTCGAAGGCACCATCAACCGATGAGCCTGCAATAAATAATCGGTGAGAGTAAGTTAGCAAAGTACCCGTGAATGCTAAGCATCATCCAATGAGCACGCAAAGTACGATATAAACGCACTGTACTTCAACGCCACGTATTCCGAATTAATCTCAAACTCAGCTGTTTTACTGTCAGATCGTCCAGCAGATAGTGCCAGACAGAAAACGGAGACACAGTTTGCATTTATTTTCAGGTCACTAGGTCAACAAGCGCGCAGACTGAAGTGAGCTGATATCGAGACACTCATTAAGTCGACCGTTTTTTGTGCGCAGTCGTTCTTTTTTCTCTATCGAGTGGATGATTAACAGATCGGGGCTACATTCTATTAACCATGTAGCTTTTTTTGCTAAGTTTCCAGCATGCATACGGACATGAATTGTTCACGAAATGCTACCATAATTAGAGGAACACTTTAAGGTGCCCATCTCCACAGATTCGACAGTCGCTCAAACACTACTGTATTACTATCTCTGACGTCAGTCAATAATTCTTGCATTTCAGTAAAAGAGATCCAAATTATTTGTTTAAACCTTTGTGATAAATTCTGCTTCCTTCTAATCCATTTCAGAAACGGATAACTCATTGTCCAGTAAGTAATGTTCGCATGATTTATAAGTAAATATTGATCAACTGTGGCCGTGGATAATTATAGTTATACCGTGTGCAGTAGATTTGAACCAAACAATGCAACAGCGACAGTCGGGTATTCTCATTGTTTTGGGTTAGGTATCTCTTTTGTATACCCCGATCAACACTCTTCGATTTGTATCTTTTGGCCAGCTGAAAAATATATTCTATTCAATTTTCACTGTATGTTTGACTTAGAACAAAGGCTCAAAATCCCTCAGAATTCAGAAACCGGTGGATCTCGTCAGTCAAGTAAACATAAAAAAGCTCAAGTAGCTATTGAATGTTTTACACATTCATTGTATGACTACACTAACCGAGACACTCAGTTGAGAATAATCAGTCTCCCGTTAAAATCAATTTAGTCGGAAAATGAGTGTATTTTGTCGGCTGTGTACAACGCAATTACAAACAAAACATGAAGACTCAGGAACCACACCTACCCGATGAGCGCCAAGAAGAGCGTAACGAATAGTGTGCTGTCGAAGAGATTTTAGCAACCTCATAAGTAGTGGATTCTACCAAGGAAGTACAGGGCAATATGTCGAGTATCTTACCAGCTGAAGCAGCCCCTGTGTGGTACATTTAGTTGAAGCATACCCTAACTGAGAGTTTCAGCTGGAATCCAGTTGAGTCTTCAATGTAAACGAAACTAGTCTGCAAGTGTGTACTTCGATAGATCCAAATTTATCAAGCTGCTGCTTCACTTTGGATGTTATCTTATAAGCAACGTCACTCTTGTTTAGAACCCGAGAAGCACCATGTAGCTACTTTAAGTTGATCGGAAAAGTTTGAAAAAGATTGGGAAGGATATCAGAGGGGTTCAGTAGGGTTTGGTAGTGCACAACTTGGGAATCTCTAAAGCGACTATTCAGTTATTGGTTGAAAACCACACGATTCAACCACAAATGGCCAGTCAATATTTTTACCTCACATTATGACATGATATGGAGCCATTACTCTTCGGTAGCGCGCTCAAACTGACAAATCCAGTTCTTGCAAATAGAAGATCTCACCATTCTGCTCAGAACAAGTTATAGGTCGTTCAATTTTTTTCTGATTTTTAACAGGTGTGTCAGAAGAACGCGCCCGGAATCTCACAGATTTTTAGCTCAAACTCAGAGCTCTGCAGAAAAGAAATGCGTACGCAAAGGCCGGTGAGTATAGCCCAGATGCATTTCTGTCGTGAACGAGGTTTGCTTGGTAGTTTACAGACATTGGTGTAAGTGATCTCATCTGTAGATCACCAAATATGGCAATGTAAACAGGCTGCTGGAAAAGCGGAAATCAACTAGAGCCATTATAATGAAAGCTTGGCAAATGACTGATGATGCAGGTGTCAGAAAGGTAGGCTAAGTCACAAGTAGTACATAAGGTTGACAGAAACTCGAGCACTGAGTCTACCTGATGAGCTCCCCCCGCACCAAAAAAGGGTGGAATCGGCCGTGGGCTGTCGAAGAATTTTCAGCAATCTTATGAGTAGTACATTACATCCATAGACTAAATTTCGTTTGTTGACATGGACCGGTTATTGATTCCTTTTGGTCCTCAGACAGACAAGTGTTTTCCCTGAAACAAAATCGGTCTTTAGGGACTAATCTGAATGGTATCGGGTGTCGAGTAGCAATACATGAATGACCTTGATTGACCATTCAATCAAACACAATGAAAAAGTTACGAAGCAGCGATTAAAAGAATATTCGTCAGAAATTCTGTTTCATTTTGGATTTCGTGCAACAGATGTGCCAACGTTCATCGAAAAACAAGTAGGCACTGCCATCCATGCTGTCGCGTGTGCATATAGGTCACTGGTTATTTGCAACTAGAACTAATGGAATTTTCTCTAAAAATGGAGTTTGCCACAATTCAGGGTGGTGCGCACTTTTCGTTTTGCAAGATACAGGAGGACGACTGGCTTCTCCTGGAACCTCACTTTGGAACATTTTAGCTGGTAGTCGGAGCGATGTTTAGGTGGCCGAATGTTATAGGTACCAGATGACAGCTACTGTGTAGAGAAATATTGTGCAGCTACAAGTCACTGAGTCAAATGGCGATTTTGTTTCAGTAGAACGGGCCTTGATGACTGTTTCTTTTAAAAGTGACCACAGTTAAACTTGTCTGCCGTGTCGTCACGCTATGCGTTCATCCAGCTAGTGCAGGTGAGAATGCAGGCAGGTCCTCAGAAATTCTAGTGTTCTGTACAAATGGAGAGGGACTCATCTTACTAGTCCCGGATAGATGATCGGGAAAACAACTCAGTTCTCTTACGATGGATTTTGACGTGTTTTTGTTTTCGCTGTTAGCAGATTCTCCTTGACTTCTCCCAGAGGGTAAATTCTGCCTTTGGAAATTGCTTCATGGGCATGTGGTATTGGTTTCGGAA